CTTTACCCACGGGTGTCGCGATAATTATCGGGGGATGATTGCTTTCCAGCACCAGCACCGCCCATAATCGCCGTCGCAGTTGGAATGGGAGTTCGTCCCTTTCCTGCAAAGCTGGGGTGGGTTACCCCAACAGCCAATCAGCAGCCTCATTCGCAGAGACGGTGTCCCGGTGACGGATCTAAACCCAAAACGAGCTGGTGACCCCAGCTGAGCAGTTGCTCGACCAATCACCGCTTGAGGTGGCACCATGGCGGACAGGCTCGATACAATTCATTGGCTGGTTTGAAGACCATGGGGAGAGTTCGGCCACACCGCCCATGGGGGGTTAAAACCGTTTGGCGCCTGTTCCGCTGACCAGGTCGCGTCCTTACCATACCGAAACATACTTACTTCCCACTGCTACTAGTAGTACTAGCGCTACTAGTAGATACAGACAGTACTATCAGTAGGTGCCGGTAGCCTACCTACTACTTGCCTTGGTACATTTCGTCGCCTAGGTCAAAACAGTGCCCACCCACTAATTACATGACTAGTCATCTGTAATTGGTGCCTATCTCCAAGAGCAACCAAAAAAACCTGTTCAGGATTGTGAAGGTGCGTTGCTCCCTCATGGTTGGCTTCTCAGCTCGTCGAATGAGAAGCCGAGAGACTGTGGTTAGACGAGTGGCGCCCTGGAACCCCTTCCGGCTGGCTTCTTTCCTAGTCCAGTCGATCCTGGTTAGAGCAGCCGGGGATGCAGAAGCCTACTTAGACCTCAGTACAATCTCCTCCTATCCATGGTGTGTCTGCATTAGAATGCTTATCATGGCCGATAGCTTCTTAGTTGGGTTGCATCAGGCAACTCCAGGGAGAGACATGTTACGTACAATCGCTGCGTAAAACTGGCTAAAGTCAAAAAACCAGAAGCGAATGATTTACCTTTGCACAGTCCCGTAAATCTCCCATATGCGAGCTTTTGTCTCTTTTAGGCGGTAGTAAACTAGCGTCGAGATCAAACGGAACGGTGTTGCCCGCCGGATAATTAACCCCGCCAGAGTCTGAATATTTTCCTGTTGCTACTTTAGAGGAATTCCTCAGCTTGAATTGAAATTCCTGTATCTTTTGCTCTTTCTGTCTCTCTGATAGTAAAACTTTAATTCCTGGCCGGGTAGGAAGCTGTTCTGATCCCCATTAGCGTCACAAGTTACTGGATGGATGATGAACTCTCTCGCCTGCATATCATACGCAGCTAGTAGCTACTGCATCCTAATAGCACCTGCACGTACAAGAGAGTCGGCGGCCAAGCATAGGGGCCGACCAGCTCTTGCCTTCGCCATGACCAACCATCAAGATACATACGTAGTGAGAACTCCCTTGCAGTAACCGTGGATATCGGCCATGCCCTCCGAACCTTGACGGGACGGGACGGGCACGATTTGCGGGAACCAATACTATTCCTTCATTAGGCTTCCACTTCTGGTGCTGTACCGGGCTTATCTGTTGATTCCGCATTCGGCAGAATCGACCGGACTTGTGGTCTGATACCGGTCATCCATTATCATCATTCCACCAGCAGCTGTATGTACGATGGTGTCATCGTTGGGAATGGCGGCGCCAGGTCGCATACCAGATTATTGTCCGCTGGGGGGTAAGTCTACATAACGATCGGTGCAGGAATTCAGGTCAGTGGGTGTGGTTCATGGTGTAGCTGGTCAGGTTGTGACATACCACCTATCGTGTCTGCGGCACTTCGAACCAGGGTTGACAGGCTAATCTCTGCTGGTGGCTTCTTTCGGGCTATCAGGACTCCCCGATTGATTTGATGCTGCAAGGTGATTGGCAATTTACTTTTGACAGCATTCCAGACGCAGCTCAATTGTTTTCCCACTCGCCGGATCATAAGGCTCCCCACATTCCTGGTGGCTTGTATTTCAAATCATCGAGCATGAAAAGCCAAAAGGCAAATGGTGGAATGAATGGAATTAAATCTTGTCGCAACGCGCGGGTGCGCATAGGGAAGCGCTTCTTATGAAGACTGCTCGGAATAACGCGAGAAGAATGAAGCTATTACCCCAAGAGCAGGTAAAAGGAGAAAACAATAGGAAATTAAACCAGCTCCCGCGCTTGGGACGCCGTCGCATTGCACCAACCCCACCCCATAATTCAAAGTAGAAGCCTATCAGATGGCACAAGCTGGCGCACTCTTTCTCGGGAGGCGACAGGATGCACGGTGTCACGGACCGCCTTCTGTGTCAGCCCCAACCTGGAGACGCTCGGACGCCGAGATGTCTCTTCTGGAAGCCTGACTGCTTCTTCCTAAGGTTCCCAAGGAGGCGGTTCCATGCTCATCTTCGTACTCGAGGTGGACGTGCGCAAATAAGATGAGAAGGAGGGTCTCAATATGCGAAGGAAGCCGACCTTACTAGCCTGACGATACCGTATCCCGGGCAGGTGCCCGGTGTGTGTCTCTCTCTCCAAGATAATGGTGGATGTATACCTCCTAGATACGAGCGGTATGTATGCCTGGAGCTAAACCTAGTGCGATGGACATCGTATTGTGTTCCATGGTAAAGGCGGTGTTTTGTGCCGCTCGTCGGTCCTATTAGCGTGCAGCGATCTTGAACATGATCATCCAGAAGCCTGGGTAGTAAGTAATAGTAGTAGTGATGAACAGAGGTAACCTGAACAGATATCGAAGTTGCTGAACAGAAGGAGATCGTTTCCCTCAATTTCCTTACCACATGGTACGCCACGATCACTCATCCCTTCCCCGATACCCGCCATGAAGCACTCCGGCGGAGAGCCTGGGGAAATAATGATCAAAACTAAAATTACCGATAATCTATTTTGAAACAATTAATCCAACCTGAGGAACCCCTCAGTACATTAGCAGTAGACTATGATGTCATCGTTCCCTTTTCAAAATTAAAATTGAAAAAGCAAAACCATGATTTTCCAAATCTCACGCTCCATGGTCATTAGTCCGCCCGTCAGGATGAATGATCTGGTATGCTTGGGGCTTGCCCAGCCTGGCATCTGATACATTCCCGAGTGCGTTCCTAAAATCGAGGGTAAGGAAGTATAGCAGGTTCGCTGCTCCTATAGTAGGCGTCGGGGTTGTAAGTCCGACGGCGATAATGATTGCTGTCTTAGCGCCCTTTTTGATTTAATACGATGGAAGTATATGGCGCAACGAGATACTTTGTAAGAAATAGCAACCAACCAGAATCCAACCTGGGATAAGATGAGTGATAATAAACCGGATAACTAACATCTTGCCATGGGGATAACACCCCTCCCCCTCCCAAAGGCTGACCTCGAGTGAGTCATTCTAGTCTCTCTCTCTTTTTATTTTTCTTTAAATTATTTCTTGAACCTGGCAAAAAAGGGACAGGTGACAAATATAGTAGTACCTGGATGCTCATGGGATTGAGAGGGGAGGTTAACCTCCCCCATCCGGACGGTGCTACCCTCCTTGAGGATGCTTTTCTGACCGTCTCTCCTACACCTACTTTAGTACCCTACTTACAGTACACCCCCTCCTACCCACCAACCACACGCCCCCCTTTCTTCTGCTTGTATTGGTCTCATCCCCCTCCATCTTCACATACTTAGCTTCCCACGCCTTAGCTTCATCGCCACCAAGACTTGCCTTTCCCTTCCCTCCTTTTCCTTAATTAATAAATTGTATTCATTCTTCTTGTAATTTTGTTTTGCCCGTTATTTTAGTGTTGCTTCCCGTTTCTGATTATTCCTTTTTCTGTTTTTGAAAATAAATGATATTAATTTAATTCCCACACCCTCTACACCAAGCTGAAGAACCGGTTTACGCATGTAATCCCCGTAGATGCTTTGTTAAGCCTCGTCGATTGAGGATCGACGCCCTGCATGACCTTGACCGTGATATATCAAATGAGAGGCTGTGAAGAACGCCGCGAGAGTCTTTTAAAGTCCCCCTCATCCCCTCGTCTCTTCAAACCTGGGTGTTCTGTTTCGTTTTGATCTTATCTGGAATACTACTATCACTACTACCGATCATACCATCTACCACCTTGAGTCTTGGAATCCCGTCGACAGAAGCTGGGACATCTTTATTTGATGATTGTTGCGTCGCCCAGCTGCGCCGCATTGACTCTCCCGCGAATTGCCTGTTTACGGTCACCGTCGCTCAAGGGTAGTTCCCAGTAACTTGACAGTACAGTCTCTCCGAGTCGTCGCTGAGCACGAACCCCTCACTGTTGCGACATCTCACACCCAACAGGGCACAAGTAAGTAATCACAGCTAAATACCTTGTCATTTCCTTTGCCCCGGTCCCCTTCCATACTTTTTTTCGCATATAAGCCCCTCCTGCCGCTGAGATAAGGCGGCTGGCTTCATAAGCGCTTTCATTGTTACTCCCTTCTCTTGTTTGCTTTTTCATTTCTGCCTGGTCTCTGGACACTTTGAGCCTCACGTCTGTCTACCTCTGTTATTCTTCCTCTTTCTTTTCATCACTTACCTCCGCGGGGCCATCCCTTCTACTATTACACTGTGCGTCTATGACTGTTGCGCCATCAACTGCACTATTTCTGTCACTGCAACCTGAAGGATATGACTAATATTAATACCTCTTGTGCAGGTCTGTGAAGAACATCGCTCACCCTGGACACATCTAAACCTAGTAAGTGAATTTTCCTACAATTTCGCATATCGTTCTTGAGTTCTCAATTATTTTTGCCCTGCATCATATTCCTTTGAAGCCTGGTCGCACTGGGGATTGAGGATCTCGCTTGGGGAGATGCAAGCAAGCCTGAACACACTCTACATCCGATGACGGAGGAAGTAAAGCCAAAAGAAGGAGGGGTATTGGGTTACTCCTCATTACTCCAGGATGTGATATCCGGCAGAGATATTGCCGGGGTTGTCATGCCTTCAACCGAGCTGTCGTCTGGGAAGAGCAATAAGCGACGGTTGCAGCACAGCGCCGTTGGATTTCAACCCCTGCATGCTCTCTCGGCGGGGGAGGGTAATACCCACTGATCGCGGGTCGGAGGTCGAACAGTTCGCGGGAAGACAGTGAGCAGGCGCCTATGAGATGCTCCAATTTGCTCCGACATCCCCAAGGGGTTGAGTTACCGCGGGGCAACCTTGGAAGGCTCATTCTTGTCTCACGGACCCCGAGTCGGAGAGCGCTTCCCGGTTGGACTAAAGCGGGGAGGCGGTAATCGGCGAGAAAAGAAAAAGAGGGGAGAGGGGAGGAAGAGAGACATTCTGCATCATTGTCGTGATTATTGTCACACACAGTCACATACGCCATGCCTATGTCTCGCTTAACAACATCCCCAGGGCACGCCGAGAGGAAAGGGGAACCACGGGGAGGCCGAGGGGGTGGGATGCGCAGCGGGTGGCAGATATCCGGGGCAAATCGATGGCATCTCCACACTTTTCACCACTGCCACGCCCGCATACTGCCACCACTGACCGCTTGCCCCCAGCAGTCCCACCGCCCGGGGAATGCTCAACACGATCGGTTTTGCCTCTCTCTCCTCCCTCTTTAGTTGCCCCCCCACGGTGCCTGTTTCACTTTCAGCCCATCAAGTGCATCCATCCATCCACATTCAACTCTCGCCTCCTCCACTCTCTTCCCCTCTTCCCATCCCAGATTCTCCCAGCTTCTGTCGCATATACCCCAGACCCGACTCGCATCATCATCATACAAAACAGTAATTCTCAGGAAGCGCGCTTTCCACCCCCCCACACACACTCAACCTTCCCCGGTGTGCAAGTACAAGGCTCCATCTCATCTCATCTTGTTCGTTCCCGTGGATCTCCCTCATAATCAACTGTGACCGGCTCCGACTGCTCTTATCGCTTCCCTTTTCCCTTCCCTTTTTGCCCTTCTCCCCTCCCCCATTGTTCCAGCCCATCGCCTCCGCGGCCCCATCTGGCCGCCTTTTCACGCTCTCACTCTCTCTTTCTGTCTCCCCTTTATTTTACCTCGCTTATGGCCACGCAATTCTGTTTCCTTCTTTGACCTCTTTTTCCTACTGTCTATTTTCTTATTTCCCCAGCTGCTACTTTCCCCATTTTCCCGGTCGCTTACCACAGACTTCATTGCGCAGTCTGATCTTCCTCTGTGCGGTTCACAATCAACGAGGCAGCCTATTGGGTTTCGGACTCCGCCCACGATAGTGGCATTTTCCGAGGCGTCCGCTTTCGAATCTTACCTTTCCACCACAACTTCGCCCACCGCGACCAGTCAAATCCGATCGCGAACTACCCCTCGCATTCGCCTTGAACTCATCCCGGGTTCAGCACCAATCGTATCTTTGCCTCATCCAGGAAGCGTCTACCGCGCAGTTTCTTGCTTGTCAAGTAGACATTCCCACTCTGGTTGGTAACTCCGTACCTTCCCTGTTTTGTGGTGGTCTGAGCCACCTCCTGTCTCTCTTCTCCCTGAAATTAGATCGTGGCTCACTGTAGTGTCGCCTTCTCTCTCTGTTTGATTGAGCGCTAACGGGCACTTGTCCGATCTGTCAGATTTTCTCCTCGCCACCCTCGCAACTCGCCCGAACTCGTTGATGAGTTTAACTCACCGCTTCCACCACCGGACTTCTTAACTATTTTGCGAAGAGGCCAAACCTTCACACGCGGAGCATTTCTCGCTCCAAATTCAGCTTGGGGTTTACTGTGTTCGAACCCCATAGTCCCACAAGCATCAGCGAGTTCGATCTTGAACTGTAAGACTCCCTTGGAAGACGCAGTCGGCGTTCTGCCTGAGTGCTTGCTTAGGCTCGCTGGAAACCGGCGGAAGCGAGCATTCTCATCAAGAACAAACCTGACAAACGCAGCAGTGATCAGTAATCCTTCATGATGTCACAGTCGAACTATATGTCCAATCAGTTTGGCAACCCCAACGAGGGGGTTGACCCGTCGGAGCTTAGTATGCAGAACGGTGGATTCATGTCCTACCCATTTACGTCGCAGCAGAACTTCAACTTTGGAAACTCGGGTATTGATACAGATGAGTTGTTGGACCTGGAAATCAACGGACAGAATGGCATGCAGCAGAACTTTCTCCAGGACCAGCATTCGGGTGCCGGAATTTCCATGAGTCATCCGGGGCAGATGTCTCAGATGTACTCTAACACGCCGGATGGAGCTCCCATGAACAGCCCGTTCATGCACAGTTTCAACTATGACCACTTTCGTTCCATGAACCAAAACGGCCAGCCCGGCTCTCATCTGCAGAGTGGATCCCAGTTCGAACAGAGTTATCTGGCTTCCAAAGGCCGCCCGAGTTTGCAGGCAGTGGACCGCGCTTCACTCGATGCGCGCAGTCCGATGACTCCGAAGACCCCGGCCCTTGGTGCATTGACCCTGGGAACCCCAGAATCTGGAAGTTTTCCTACGCAGCCCATCCGGACTGGCCTGCAGCATCGCCACCAGAAGACACTGTCTAACCAATGGGACGGTACGCCAGGAAGTGCCCATTCTTTCGTGGAGTCCCCAATCTCCTCCCCCGGCCACCCCCACCACGCGGGAATCTCGGAGATCCTCAAGTCTGGTAAACATGCTTCCTTGCCGGCCAAGGTTGATACGCACATGCCAGGCAGTGCCCAGGACCTAGAATCCCAAGAGGCCAAGCGACGCCGTCGGCGGGCCTCCCATAACCTGGTCGAGCGCCGGCGACGGGACAACATCAACGAGCGCATCCAGGATCTTTCCCACCTCGTTCCCCAGCATCGCTTGGAGGATGACAAAGTCCGGAAGCAGCTTGTCAACAACACAGCAATGTCTGCCACTGGAGCCACACCCAATGCCGCGACGTCTTTGCTGGCTGGAGGCAATGGTCGCCGGGCCACTGCGGGTAACATTACGATGGGTCTGCCAATTGAGGAGAAAGAGAAGGGCCCGAACAAGGGCGACATCCTGAACGGTGCCGTAGGCTGGATGCGTGACCTAATGTGGGCCCTACATGTTAAGCTCCAGCAGGAATCGGAGCTGGCTGAAATCATCAGCAACTTGGGTGGAACTTGGCCCTTCGAGCAGACCGAAGAAGAGAAGCGGATGAGAACGGAGATTCTCGATGCTTTGGAGAAGAACGACCCTAGTTCGTTTACTTATAGCAGGGCACCCGGAAGCGGGCTGCGAGTACCGAAGCATACGAACATGGCAGGGGACTCTGTGGCTGGCAATGGGGCTTTGAGCCCCCAGAGCCTGAGCCCCCCGTTTAACGGCAACGGCGGTAGCAATGGAGGCTCCGGGCAGGCTCAGTACTGGAGCAGCTCGGGTCACGCGGGCATGAGCTTCAAGGAGGAAGACGAGTATGCGATGGAGATGAATTAGATACATTTCCGTTGACTATCGCTCGAGCTCTCATTTCTTCAAACGAACGCATGTCATGAGCTATTGCATACAAGGGCGTCAAACGGACGGGTAGTTGACCGGCGTACACGGAAGCCTTATCATGCCATCGAGGCTAAAGGGCCAGTTGAACTTTCTTTTCGTCAGTTGTTTGATACTCCTCGCGTGTGGGTCTCGCTATACTTGCCTGGGATTGGCCGTCTCGGATTCTTTTTGTCTTTATCTTTATTCATTTCCTAATATCTGGTGGGACTTTACTTGTTGAGTTGAGTGTCTATGTGCTTGTCTTTTGAATTTCCAGCTAGCTATCTTGGGTTGCACGTCTCTTGTTGTTCTTTTGCGCATAATGGTGAGCAAGGTCGGAACACGACATGTCTTGCGTCATTTGGCTTCTTTCCCTTTTACATCGATACCCTTTTCCCATTGTCCCGGTTTCACAGTTCTCAACTTTCCTACTTCATCCTTAATATCCTTTTGGCTATTTTGACCCCATTTCGGATGTCATTTACGGCTGCTATCTATTTTCGATTTAAATTACATAGCATGATTCATTGATACAATGGTGCATTCGGTGCATGCAACTTTACTCTCTACTCAAATGCTCATTCTCCTATAATTTACAATGGAAATCACTAAAATCATTGGCCCTGCCACAGGCGATCGAAGCCTAGGAATCAGCAGTAGATGGATCACCACGTGTCCTGCACGCTATCGAACAGGCACATGGAGTGTTCTAGACCCAATTCCCTAAGAGTCTAACCAGCAAATGATAGTAGTCCAAGGGTATCTGATATCTATCGTAGCGCCCGCCATCATGCAGTTCCCCGGGGACGATGATTGCCCGACTACTGTAGGTACCAATCCTGGTGAGACCAGGATGGACCCATTCCATGGGTCCAACCATACATACGTACGTACATACATTAGACAGACATATCACATGCATTTCTTTCTTCTCCTCATTTCTTACTTGCTTATTCTCACGCTGTGCATCCAGCTAGCCACTTTTGCATGGTACCTACATACATAGTACATGAATAGTATGGATCTAGTAGCAATCAATATATGCCTGTATCTACAGTACTATCTCAAAAGCAAATATTGGAAAGAAAAGGAAAGGAAAGGGGAAAGAAAGGGGGAATACTTTCAAATTCAACATGAAATGAACAACAACGATCCTTGCACACCCTCCGTCACGCTCTCTCTTTTTCTCTGTCCCGTCTATTTCTATTTCTAACCCCCTATCTCTAGTAAAGTAGAAATATAGAAACTAAACAGGAAAGAATTCATTCCAAAAACGGAAAAAAGAAGGAGGATCTTACTCGCCCCTCATATTCCTAAAGAAGTCCATGACTCCCGTAAACACAACAAGAAGAATACCACCACCAGGGCCCAATCTCAGCACCTTGGGCAAGAATCCCTTATACAAAGCAGCGAATCCTTCCTCCTTCATGACAGTTCCGACGGCAGGCCAAGCCCAGTTGTACTTGGGCACTTGGCCGGGAACCTTCGAGGTGTTTTGAATACGGGACTTGACGACGTCCATGGGCGTGTTGAGAATCGTACCGGCCGTACCACCGATCGTACCCGCGATCAAATCATTGCGTGTCTGCTGGCTCTTGTTGCCCGGCTCGGCGGCAGGGAGCTGCGCGCGCACCTGGAAGATACAGCCGAAGTAACCCGAGTTCCAGAGAATGTGGCGCCACAGGGTGGATTCCAGACCGTTGTACATAGCGAGGGGTCCCTCCGCGGCGACGATCTTCTTCACGACGTCCAGCATGCCGTTGTATTTACCGGCCGAGGCGCGGTCCTGCAGACGGATCTTGACCAGCTCGAAGGGCACGACGACGAACGACTCGGTCGCTCCCGCCGTCGCTCCGGTCAGGATCGCCAGTGACTGTGTTTGCTTCTCGGCGCCGAACAGGTTGCGGTAGAAGGCGCCCCAGCTGTCGTTGGCGGCGAACTTGGTCGCGCGCTTGGGCGCTTCCATCAGGATGGGGGCGGAGATACCGCGGTACAGGCGGGAGAAGCTGTTATGGGGGGAGAGGTGGGTTAGTTTGGTTGTGAGGGGGTGGTTGGGGGGGAAGGGAGTTGGTTGGCGTACCCCTCGTTCTTGACGATCTTGCGCAGGCAGTCGAACATGCCATTGTAGTATTCCTCACCGGCGACCGCGGTACCCTTCTGGAGTTGACTGAGGGTGGGATAGGTTAGTGGGTGGTTGCAATTGGGGAGAGATAAGAGAGGTAGAGCGTACACTCGAGTCTTGACCACGTCCAAGGGGTACCTGGGGGGGAAGGGAATTAGTGTTGGCTGCTTGGATTGCGTCGATTGAGGGTGGGAAATGCGCACATAACCAGAATCTATGGCAGAGTTAGTCGCGTGCTCCGGTGAACTGGCAGCGGGATCACACCATACGTACCTCGGACACACCGGCGACGGCACCGGCAATGAATTGGTAGCCGAAGGGCAAGGGCTTCTGGGTGTCGTTGTTCGACATGGTGATGAATTGGCCAAAAGTAGGCGTGCAGACGAAACAACAGACGGGGAAGACGAGTCGGGAGAGGGGAAGAAAAGAAGAAGAAAGAGGGAAGAAGTGATGGAGAATGAGATTATCGAGGGAGGAGGCCGCAGTCGGAGAGGGTCGGGGACTCACCGGGACGTCGCCCGATCGGGTAAAATGCCGCCCCACGGGGCTTTTTGACGCTTACTTATACCTGCCACCGCATTCATCGCTTTCGTTAGTGATCACATTGTCATTGTCATTGTCATTATCATTTCGCTATGCATGCTCCCATGATCTACATGCCAAATCATTTCTATCATAACGCCAGGGCCACCATCATACCCATGCCCATCACCCCCCACTGCTGCCGCAATTGATCACTCCCACTAGTGGCCTGCTCCTTGGCCACGGTCTCCGTCGCCGTTGACACTGCCGTACAGCTGGTCCCGCACTGGTATCCCGACGGACAACAACCTCCCCCGACGGATTGGGCGCAGCTGAACCAGCCAGTTGCGCATCGCCCGGGCGTGCTTGTTGTGGTCGTGGATGCCGTCGTCGTGGCCACAGGGACTACAATTGTTACTCCGTCGCTAGTGAGGGTCGTCGAGGGCGTTGCCGGGCAGGACGTCGTGTCACAATCGCGGCCAGTTCGGCAGCATCCTCCATGATAGACGGCAGAGCAGGCGTAGAACCCGGTTGGACAGACCGATGCCGTACTGGTAGTTGTGGTTGTCTTGGAGTTCGTGGAGGTAGATACAGTGGTAGGTCGAGACGGAGGCACCAGATCACCCGTGGTTTGCGTCGCAGTGGTTTTAGGGATGGTGTGTGTGGATGTCGATAGCATGACGGTTGAGCTTACCGTGATCGTGATTGTGAAGACACGCATACCTGAGCTGTTAGCCTCAATAGCGATATAGAGTAGGGGAATCCTCAGTTGACGCAGGTTACTTACATCCCCCGGTGACACATTCGTACCCTGGGATACAGCATCCACCACCCAGAGACGACGAACAGCTAGAGTATCCGTCCTGGCACGATCCAATTGTCCCCGAGCACGCCTGTCCTTTCGGACAACAGCCTACGTCACCAGATCCTGTGTCGTTGACCAGAACGCACGTGTCGCTTGTACTGCAGCAGCTTTCGGGCCGATCTATCGATGAGCATCCGTAGGTGCCGGAAGGACATTTGAATTCTCGCCGAAGAAGCGGTGAGAAATGTTCACTCCACCCGCGCCGTTCGACCTCAAGGTCGCTCGGGTAGGAGGGTCGAAAGGGATACGAGCGAGGTTGAAAGTCGACCTTCTCGGTTGTGTCGAGACTATAAGGTTGTGCTTGCGATGAAGAATCATTGACGTTTGATGTGTTGCTTGTTGTATAGGCTTCGTCGAACAGCCAGTAGTGGAGGAAGAATTTTTCGCCCTCATCGTCGGTCATCTTATGGACTCCGCGAACAGGCTTCTGAGATAGGTATGACTCGATAAGAGCATTGTGCTGGACGATTGAATCCGTATCCTGGGAGTCATTGGGAATAGAGACATTGCTTGCAAAGGCTTGTCCCGCGATGGATGGGCCGAGGATGCAGGCCAGCAAAGGTATTGACAACATGAGGTCGTAGTGTCTAGGACTGGGTCATAGTCAGCGTACAAAACCTTCCTAGAAATGAAGTCGCACATACACAAGTAGTATATAAATATTATCGTCTCCCGAAAGGACGTTATCGGAAGAGCTCCGTGATAAGTCGACCGACAAGGTGACAAAATGTAAACGACCGGGATCAACTGCAGATCATACCGGCACTAAATACACGAAGCACTAAGCATGAAACTAACAGTCGGGGGGCAACCGACACTCTCCTCTCTGCCCAAAGACAGTGTGGCTGGGAAAGAGTGGGAACAACAATTAACAAGGCGACGGGGGTGCCTCCACTGGTCCCAATCGGGAAATAATGCCAATCCGGTGCAAATAAATGGATACCTGATTGTGCCGGCAGTATCCTACATTCACCGCTTTGAGTCATGGCGGTGGGCCCCTCCGTTCCATGGGAATCAAGAAAGTGGAGAGAGAGAGTCTCAGCTCTAATTCCATCTTGACAGCTGCCCGTCCACGGATCAGCTTATCATTGGATGATAGAGAAATGTTGACTGTTGGAAATTTGGAGAATGCAACTGTTGGTCGAACTAACTATAGAAAGGAGTGAGGAGGGCTGAGAAGGTGCGCGGGTAATGGAGAGCAATATAGATCCAACATAACCCATGTTACTCCCTGCACAGCGCCATCTACTGGCGTCCCGATTAGTGGGAGGGCGCTTGCTGCTCACAATGGCAGGGATTGCTACCCCCCATCTCATCCCAGCAATGGTTCTTTTAACGCGGCCTATCCCCCTCGACTTTTTTCTCTCATTTCATCTTCTCTCTCATCATCTCTCTCATTCTCAATCATGGAAGATTCATCGTTTGAATACCCCAGCGACATTCTCTACACCCAGGAGCCTCTCTCGGGATACAAGTTTGGCGGATATCATCCCGTCCGTATCGGTGATACTTTCAAAGATAACCGCTACACTATACATCACAAACTCACGTGGGGAGGTTTCTCCACCGTCTGGCTTGCCCATGACAATTTGTGCGTCACAAATACCCATCTGTCCCATTCCATATGAATAAACACTAATAACTTCAATAGGCGACACCGATGGGTCTCCTTGAAGATCAAAACCGCGGACACTTCGTACAGTTCTCAAGAACTCCCAAACCTCCAGCAACTGGAGAAGATTGCCGCCCCGGACGATCTCTCGTCCAAGTACATTCTCCACCTGCTGGACGCTTTCATCCAGCCCGGCCCCAACGGCATTCACCAATGCCTGGTGTTCGAGCTGATCGGTCCCACCATCGATCGCATCATCACTGACTACCGTGAGCTCTCGGATTCCCTTGATCCACAAACCATTCTCCGCTTGTCGAGACAGCTCCTCAAGGCTATCGAATTGGTCCATAATGCCGGGGTGGGGCAGATAGGTAAGCTCCTACTTCTAATCAAGCTTAGAGTAATTCCTTTATTAAGTCAAACCAGACATCAGTGGCAGAAATATCGTCTTCAGCGGTAGGAACCTGTCCTATGCATCGGAGAAGATCATCTTCGCGGTCTTTGGCTCGCCCGAGCACGAACCAGTGACCCACCTCGATGGCACTCCGCTGCACAAAGGCTTCCCAGCGGCTCTGTTCGGACCGGTGAGTTGGGAGGACTGGCTAGAGGAGTTTGCCGAGGAGCTCCGTATCTTCGACCTCGGAGAGGGCTTTGCACAAGAAGAGAAGTCGAGGATACTCGCGCAGCCGGGTCCTTCGCGGGCCCCAGAGCTGATTTTCACGGGGAGGTCTGATCACAGGACTGATCTATGGCATACGGGCTGCATGGTAAGTGGACCTTCAAGATAACCCCCCCGAAAAAGTCATACTGATGAATGGCAGCTGTTCTTCTTTGTGTTCGGAACATACCCTTTTGACTCCGATGTAGAAGATATGGTAGTGGTCGAGCAGATGTTTGACCTTCTGGGGGAGTTACCTCAGGAATGGCAACCTATCTGGAACCGTATGCGCGCGGAAGCTGGCGATATGATGGATTTCCAAGGTGAGATCTTACAACCACTACTTATTAATGCACCTTTTCATCAGCATGCTGATCTCCAAATAATAGGTGACGAGGTCTTCACTCTGGAGGATCGCTTCGATAAGGAAGTGGCCGAGCCAGAGCTCGCTCCTCTTATCCCGATCATCCGAGCATTGCTGGAGTTTCGGCCTTCGGAGCGCATTACAGCTCCGCAAGCCCTTAGTCTTCTAGGAAGTCAGGGACAGTGAACGAAGTCATGAATTTGAGTTAGCTGGTCAATTTAGCATTTGCTGCAGAGAAGAGAATATATATACGTTTTTGTAGTTTATACAGCGATTAGTAGTAAGAGAATTTGGCTAAGAAGAGCATACATCTGCAGTACCAACCCATCCTTCTAAGAATTAGGTGGCTCTCTCAGCAAGATGAACTTTCACTACCGTCCCATCAATAGGCTTCGCGGTGACCTGCATAGTCTAGAAATTCCAAAAAAGTAAGCCACCCTTCTACCAACTTGAAGGAGAAAATCAAGGGAAGAAAACTTACATTAAACAATTCCGTCTCCACCTCATACTGCCCCTTAGCAGCATCCAAGATAGGCGCCCCAGTCGCATCCCGCGCAAGAGCGCCCACCCCCACCTTCTCGAAATCGAAGCGCCGAACCGTACACGCCAGGATTACCCGGGCCTCCAGGTTGGCTAGCTCTTGACCAATACAGTTGCGCGGGCCGCGCTCGAACGGTCTCCACGCGCTGGCGGGAACATGAGCGCTTGCGACCGAACCATCTCCATCCCCCTGATTCTCCGCGCTATCCGGGATCAGTCCTAGACCGGTATCTGTGTTTCCCAGCCACCGCTCTGGAATGAATTCATCTTTTGTCGGTCCGTACACTTTCTCCTCACGATGGACGAGTGTCGCGTTGAGGTAGATGACCACTCCGTCTAGGCAGAGCGTCTTTCCGTCTGGTAATTGCACGTTGAAGCCTGAGCCCGGGGGCATGTATCTCGCTGATCCGGATGGAGGGTACAGTCGCAGGATTTCCTTGATCACAGCGGAAGTATAGGACATTCGCTTCAGGAGTTCTTCTCCGCCCGGGGCAAGGAGCTTCTCTTGCACGGCTGCGGGGGATGGATCTGGGCCGAAGAGGTCGTCGAGTTCGCGGCGAACTTTATCCAGCACGCGGGGGGTGCGACTGAGGATATAGAAGGTCCACTGCAATACGACACTGGTGGTATCGTGACCGGCGAAAAGGAAGCTTTTGAGCTGGTCGCATGTTTCCTGGATGACTTGGGTATTTAGTTGGTCAATGTCCTGTAAACTCAGGGAGAGAACACTCCGGGAGCGCTTCTCCGTCGACTTGGACTTGAGCTCAGCAAACTTCAGTTTGATGTGTTCGGCTATCAGCTGATCAATGCGTCGAGACAGAGTTCGACGCCGCCAGTTAAGGCGGGGGTCCAGCCAGTCCCATTGCACACTGCTGCCTCTACGGTATGTGGTCGTTAGCTCACGGTAGAGACGAACGAGCTCATCCTGTTTGCTGCGGTCGAGCTGGGCATGGAAGTCTTTGTCCATGGTTACTGCGCCTGGGGGATAGTTAGAACGAAAAGCGTGCCACGTAAGAATAGGTGTGTGGCCTACCGATAATATCAAACGTAAGACTGACGCATCGCTCGTCGAGAGAGAATTCCTCTCCATTACGAGCGTACCCGTCAAGAATATCAGTGAACTGAATCGCCTTGTCCAAGATACATGGCAGCAAGGTAACGAGGTGCTGAGGCGCAAATCCGGGGTTGAACCGCTTGCGTAGACCCTTCCAGTGCTCTCCCTAGTGACATAAGTCATCTTAAAAATATGGTATACAAATTATGAATACGGCTGAAGGCTTACCTGCTGCGTAATGATGGAGTGCGGTCCCAACAAAGGCTCCAGCGCCCCCATCGTGGGCGACTTCTTCATACTATACGGAAAGCTTTTGGAGCTCCGGGCAATTTGTTCTGCGACCTCATGGCTCCCGACCACACACAGCCGAAACTGTACAGGGCGGAGATCATAGAGAATGAGAGGAGGATTCCCCAGATGTTCCTGGATTTCTTGAAACACGATGTCTGATTGACAGTGATATCGTCAACTATACCCATCCTGTTCATGAGGACGACGAGGGCTTTGATTCTTTCATACCGATGTGCCTTCTCTCCTCACCTCGGGCAATAAACTCGTGGAGCGCTTTCATGTGGCCCCAGATGAGGGAGGGAGGGAGTTGCGGCCAGTCGGCATACTTCTTGAAGCGGGAGTAGCGGATCCGGCTTATGAAGTAAGAAACCCCCAGAGGCAGGAGGATTAGGAGGATACTTTGGACGAACATGATGGTTGCTTCATGCTAGTCCACCGACAGGCGTGTTTTCAGGCTGTCTAGATCGACATGAGATGAAATGGAAGTCAGATGGGGAAATAAATGGGGTTCGGGAACGAGAAATTTTTCTTGCTTCTGTTAAGAGTTCCACTTGCCCATGGGGTTTGTTCCCGTGCCCGAGTTTAGTTGGTGGATGAACAATCATTCCGATAAGCTTATCGCTTCTAACTAGTTTTCTACTAGTGTTCCACCATTACTTAGTACCCTGGATTACAACCTGGCTTCATACAGAACACTTTTTATTGGGCTTATGTGAGTAACCTCAACAAATATGATTGGAAGGATCGTCGTGAGCAGGTTCGCATGATTCCGCTCAGTTGCATCGGGATTAAGTCTTGCATGAGGCCGCTGCAAGCGCCCGCCACGTGGTCGTCTTCAATTGACTGGAAATAAAAGCAACATCGGTAAGATGCATTCGGCATAATCTGGCATATAATCATAATGGGTAGAAAATGGTTCATGCAAGTAGATGGACTGAAAGATGCGGGGGTGTGTAACTACTCAGATACAACATCATCTCACATTCCGGCCCAAGACCTGAAATATGTAACTAGTACTTGGCTTTGGGCCTCATACTCAGTATTGAATACCTTTTGGTAAAACAAAATATAGAAGGACCTTTCATCAAAAAGCAACAGTAAACCAGCCGGTAGTTGATTCGAAGGCTTCGAGTAATTAAAACTTGTGGGAAACTTTATTTATGGGTTATTGTATTGTGTTCCCAATTGAGCCAATCTGACCCAAAGGTCACCGGTTTTTCTTGTATTTAGATTATGTAGTGCCTCTAGTGTTTATAGTACGATAATATGTAATCAATACCTTTCAGTAACTTTCGTTATATCATCATGTCTCATGCTGACCATGACTCAAAGTAAAACTAAAACGGTTGGTCTCAAACAACAGAGACGATACCAGTGCTTCTTGCCGACGTACCCCTCCATCATTATCCCCCAGCCCTTGAAGCAACACCTTGTAATTATGAGGATTCACCATGGATTTTTGACTGATAAAAAGGCAAGATTCCACCTTCGATATTATCTACCCAGACCCGAATGAACCCCGGTGACGTCAGGTGCGGATTGCAGCAGAGCAGCACTTCGGCTGAATACTTTTAACTTGATCAGAACATACTATGTGCAGACGGTGTATATTTACCGGACTTTCATTGCATCTGAGTGAGAAAGCGAAACCTTCTAGATATGTCTTCACATTGAATATTGCACAAGGACCGCCTACCATCACAGATGTTCCAACGTTTCCAACTCTCAACCAGCCAACTGCCCCATTCCAAATTATGAACTTACCATCGAAGGTAAGGATGTGTGAGATGTCCGTCTCTGGAAATTAACGTGAAATCGAAAGAAGCAAGTCAAAGCCTTCCCGGAGTCGCTCTCTATCCTGCCGCCCGAGTTCTCCATTGCCTGCATTCTCGATCAAACGCGTTGCCTTTTCCAGTTTTGCCGGAAATACCTTTGCAACCAGTGCCTGCACAATTTCCTTTCGAGCCGCGGGATTGTCGATGGCAAGGAGGATCGACGCGAAGATATGTGTTTTATTCACAAATCTCGCATCGCCGACCTTATTGAGAAGTCCCTGCATCTTGCGATTATATAGCAGCCGGTACCATCTCAACCGCTCTGCCGAATCCTCTTGAGTATCCAGAGACTTTCCATGCTCTACTGGGTCCATATCCCTCATGATCCATTTAGGGAATGTAGCATAGCCCAGGAACCGTGGCATGGTCTGCACCTCATCCCAGTCAATAATTCCACTCACATTACACTGCTCATCGACCCGGATGTTCGTGGAGTCAAACTGTGGCACTGCAAGCACGAATGTCTCATCTGTTTCGTCTTTTTGGCTCGTCGACGACGGCATACATCCGATCATCATTTCCAGCATTATAAGACAGCCAACGTCAAATGGGCCTTCTTCTTCTGCCCCGGAGGGTGATTTCAGAAGACGCTCACGCAGAAAGTCTACAGTGGACTCGTAAGGACTATACTCCGCATACTGCACATCAGTCCCTGATCCCTTCCGCGAATGGTAGCATGGAAGCACCCGAAGATCGCCATGGACATCCGGTCCCAACGTACCAATTCCGTCGAAGCAAAACCTGTGCAGCTTTGCCATAGTCTCTGCGACACTGTCCAGTATGCGCAGTCGCTTTTGGTCCAATGACAGTGCTCCTGAGTCGTCGAACCAGGCATCCGAGACCAATGTTCCGGGGACGAAACTCTCCACGATGTACGGTGTGCCCAAGACATTTCCTGATGAGACATCGAAATCGTACACTTCTGGCATGGGGAAATGGGCTCGCTTTTGGATAAATTGCATCATTTCCACCTTCGAAATCAAGGCCCTTTTGGCAGTCTCGGTGCAGTGCCCTGGACGGCAGCTGATGGGTAGGCGGACGATATAACGCACCTGGTCGTCAAATTCGACCACATGAATAACATTACGGCTGCCTTCATGACAAAAAATCACACTTGCAGTTGTAAATGTGTCTATAGTTTGCTTTCGGCGGACCTCGACGGCAAGAGTAGTGAGTGCGTCACGGCTAATTGTGAGAAGGTCATTGAATTGCTCTTTCGCCGGCGCTGGATGTGGCATGTTGGTGCCTGTACCACTTGCATCACGTATTGGGAATGCCATGGTCGTTGTCTCGATGGGGTCAAGAGGACAAATTAGCACGAACCCAAAATTCGAGGTCGATTCTGTATACGTGGAGCCGAGAGTAGCGAAAACTAACACTGTTGACCGTAAGTAAAAGGTGAAAACCATTCACGAGGCCTTCACGAGGCCTTCACGAGGCCTTCACAATGCACAGCGAATACATTCCTCATATTCCCTGAACTTCTTATCACTGATTAACATAGAACAACTGCGCATAATAGAGTAATCAAGACTCTTCCCCTTCCATGAAAAGGCTCAACACAAGCTATTTTCACTCTCCCTGACATTCAATAAACTAGACCCCAATTGTCTGAACCAGGATACGGCCAATTCATAGGCATATCCAACTTATTGTTCGAGACTATTAGAGGGGGCCTCTCGAGAGAGCAAGATAATCAATAAGAACACCGTCCTTTACATGACTTAACTGGTGATTGCTAGCAGAAGCTCCACCTGGTTGTGTCCCCATGTCTCCTACGGTCCAGATTGACCACCCTACCTGTTGAAGAAGAAGCAAAATAAAATCAGCATGTTACATATCGAAATAGTAATCACATGATCGCCGGTTACACCCCCAAAGTACTCGTCCCTCTTGTTCATACACTTCGCCTCACAAGCTTCTCTATGAAACCGCAGGACTCTCACCCTCATCAACCAATACAAGTGACTATGAAGCTGCTTCAGCAGTGGCACTGAAACTGTGAACACTTCCCCGTGCTTCGAATACTACCCGATTCTCCTCCAAACTGTTACCATCACAGATGGGTATGGCGTTCCCATCGGATGGCGTTCCCCAGCCACCTCCACCAGGACTAGTAATCATGTCAGCCAAGCGTAAAACGATGAAAAGGTAAGCTCCACTACTTACGTGTGAATAATAATACGCTCTCCAGGCTGCACTTTGAGCTCCATCTTCCCACCAATGTTGATCGTTCGCTCAGTCCCATCCAGCTCTTTCTTCACGTACAGGTTCAATCCCGCCTGGCCAGCCTCACCACCTGCCAGTCCATATGGGCGATAGACGCGACGTTCGCTCAGCATAGAGGCTGACAAGGGAATACGGAACTCCAGTTCTCGAATCACACCGTCTCCACCGCGGTAACTTCCCCTGCCACCAGACCCTTTGCGGATAGAGAACTGTCGCAAAATAACCGGGTATCGCAGCTCGTACACTTCTGCATCGGTGATTCGTGTGTTGGTCATGTGGACATGGACACCGGATGTACCATGCCAGGTAGGACCAGCGCCAGAACCACCACATATGGTCTCGCCAACGCCGAAGCCCGGGATGTCGTTGCCATTTTCGTCTAGTCCACCCATGCCGAATGAGATGATATTGCAGCATCCTTGCGAGGCTGCACAGGCTTGGAAGGCTCCTAGGACGACATCCGTGATACGTTGTGACGTGATGGGATTTCCAGCGCAGACGGCCGCGTATCCAGATGGATTGATAAGCGTGCCGGAAGGAATGATAACGTTGATCGGCGCCAAACAGCCCTGGTTCAATGGAATGTCAACATCGATAAGGGCGCGCAAGCTATAAATGATTGCCGAGTGGGCAATGGCTTTGGGGGCATTCAGGCAGTTGAACGTCTCTCGCCCGGTACCAGTGAAGTCGAACTCGGCAGATCCGGTCTCTGCATCGATGCGGATTTCTAATCTAATCTCTGTGCCATCGTCCATGAAGTCAGAAAAGCGGAGGGGCTGTCCGGCGGCCTTTCTGCCAATCTTCTTAAGCAGTTCCCGTACTGCGGTTTCGGCATTCTTTTTGATGGCGTCCATGTAGAAGTGGACTACATCAAGCGTGTTCTCTTGAACGAGACCTTCGAGCAACTGTGCACCCTGCTGGTTGGCTGCAATAGCTGCTTTCAGGTCGGAGACATTATCTTTGTAAGTGCGAGTGCCACTGCAACCTGGGTACGAGGCTGGCTCGTCATATAAGAACTTCCGCACCATGTCTTCGTCAAAACGGCCTTGTGATACCACCTTGAATCCCATGGTCATGGCACCTTCCTCATATAGCATTTTACTGTCTGAGGGCATAGAACCTGGCGCAATTCCTCCGATTTCGGCTGCGATTATATTAGACATGAGTATCCCATCAACGAGTGGTGTTCCTTACCATGGTGGCCTCGAGAGGCGACATAGAAGATGATCTTGCTTCCTAGCTGATCCCAGACAGGAGTAATGATAGTTATGTCCGGAAGATGCGTTCCGCCAGCAAGTGGATGATTGGTGAGGATGTGGTCCCCTGGCTTCAGGTTTCCACCGTACTGTTCATGCTGATACCGCACAGCATACTCCATACCTGAGATTGGCCCGAGTCAGCTGTCGTTGAGAAGTATAGGAAAGCAGCACTTACTGCCGAGGTGAACAGGAACATTAGGTGCGTTCGCCACAAGTTTTCCGTCGGGTGAAAACACTGCACAGGAAAAGTCCAATCGCTCTTTAATGTTGGTTGACACGGATGTCTTCTGGAACATCCGGCTCATCTGGTCGGCAACCGACATGAATCGATGACCAAAAATCGAAAGCTTGATCGGGTCCACCACCGTTGCGTTGTCGATTTGATTCTTGACCGACTGAACATTCAGGATTACATGGCGAGATAAGATAGTGGCCGATGCATGGGGTTCAACGACAATGGTTTGTGTCTTGTCGATGATCATGGCTGGTCCTTGGATGAAGCTACCCGGCTTCAGGTGCTCTAAGAAGAAGACTGGCGTGGTGACACGTCCGACGCCTGCAAAATACACCTCTGTGGAGTCATCCCGGCTTTCTTCTCCGATGTTTAATGTCGTAATAGATCGCAACTCGGGCTGCGGAGCCTCTGGGGGGACGGAAATCGCCTTGCCTACTCCACGTACACGTATATCCTCGACTAGGATATTGCGACCTGGGAAGGTGAAGGAGAATTCGCGCTGATGCTCCTGAATGAATGCTGCCCCAAAATCTCCGCCATCTGGTCTAAGGACCATCAGTGTATTATCGGTTCCTTGGTAGCGGAGATTAAGGTACACCTCATACTGTATGCGAGTCTCCTCAATACCATCTGCGGTCAAGGCTTCGGTGACCTTTGCTTTGAGAACCTCAATACGGCCATTTATTATTCCCATTGCACTCGCAGTAAGAGCTCCGGACGCAGGTTCCTGGGCCTCATGCACCACATCAGCAAGAGCCATACCATATGCGGAGAGAATCGACGAATAACGGTGGACTATGACGGTCTTTATGGACAATGACGATGCAATTGCACATGCATGTTGCCCACCTGCTCCTCCAAAACAGGCCAGGTTATGTGCTGAAGTGTCATATCCTCGTGCCTCGGTCAATGCCCGGATGGGCTTTGCCATAGATTCGTTTGCAACTTGAATGAATCCCAGCGCAATCTCCTCTGGTGTCTTCCGGTGACCTGTCTCTGCATTGATCTTGTCTGCCAATTCCGTGAACTTTTGACGAATGACCTCAACGTCAAGGGGCTCGTTCTCGTTAGGCCCAAATATCTTGGGGAAATAGTCTGGGAGCAGGCGGCCCAGGAACAAGTTTGCATCAGTCACAGTCAATGGACCTCCTTTGCGGTAGCAAGCTGGCCCTGGATGTGCACCTGCAGATTCTGGTCCGACTACGAAGAGCCCATGGCGCCAGAACAGAATGCTGCCGCCACCAGCCGCTACTGTATTGATGTCTAGCTGTGGAGCCATCACTGTCACTCCTGAGATGGTGTTCTCAAAGGTATGTTCTAGCTTGCCGTCATACCGTGAGACGTCAGTACTGGTGCCGCCCATGTCAAACCTTGCTATTCTGTCAGCGAGCATTCTCCTTGAGTCCGTCGCCTGAGAAAGGACATACCCAATAACAGGTTTTCGGTCCTCTGGGTCAAACGAGGTGCCTGCGTAGCCTACAACACCACCTGCGGGCCCCGACAAAATTGCGCGCAAACCGGAGAACCTAAGCACAGTGAGTTTGGCTCGGGCTTTCTAGATGGGAATAAGGTAATACTTTTGAAAGTTTACCAGACCACCGTCGCTTTGCATAAATTCGCAGCGCGTGTCTGACGATTGCAACCCGTCCTGGAAGCCGGAACGGAAACCTTGGATATATCGTTGAATCACCGGCGTTAAGTAGGCGTCTGCCGTAGCTGAAGCGCCTCGAGAGGTCATTTTTATCATAGGAAGCAGCTGGCTAGAGAGTGAAATATGCGTGAATCCGATCTCGTTGGCAATCCTCTCGATAGCCAACTCATGCTCTTGGAATGTATATGAGTGTACGAGACAGACAGCGATGGAGCGATATCCTTCATCAAAAAGCTTTTGCAAACTCTGTCTCGTCTTCGCCTCGTCGAGAGGTTCTAAGACGCGGATGACCTCTCCACTGACGCCCTTCTTCAGGTAAGGGTCTGTCTCCAATGCCGCTTCAAGGCGTTCTTTATCTGGAATAGGATTCTGTTGATAGCCCTCTATAGTGACTCGCTCATCGATCTCGATCACATCCTCATAGAGCACGTCGGGTCGCTGGATGTTCAAAGCAAAGAGCTTAGGACGCGACTGAGTCCCAATGCGAAGTGCATCCTTGAAACCCTTTGTGATCAGAAGCGCCACCCGTTCTCCTTTTCTCTCTAGCAAGGCATTCGTGGCGACCGTCGTTCCCATACGGATACTGACGCTGCCAAAATCCGATGTGGTGAGTTTCTGGTCGCGGGGAAAGCATTTTCCTGTTGCTTGTTCGAGAATCCGGCGGATGCCTTCAATTGGGGCGTCTGCGTAGTTAGCCGGATCTTGCGAAAGCAGCTTGACGACAATGTCTTCCTTGCGGCCTTCTACAATCCCCAGACAATCGGTGAATGTGCCACCGCGGTCTACAAATGTCAGCTCTGCGGTCACCCGTTTCAGCCCATGTAACTCACCAATGGCGATTTTGATATTGAGTTTCGATGAAGACATGATCATTGATTGAATATCGTCAAAAGATCTGCACTGAACTGTTTCTCCCAACGGCCGGCATGGCCTTTATAGAGTGGGCTCCGGCATCCATCTCCAACAGCACTCGCTCCAATGCCGGCGCTATCTTATCGTGCCCTATCATGGGACCTTAACGGTACTTCGTTATCGGCCTCGCTCCGACCTTCCCCTCGCCTTAGCCTTTCGGGGCATGGGGTTCTGATAACAAATGCCGGCGTCGTTATCAGGTGCATCTATATGATGCTATAAAACTGACACTCGACGACATGGTCGGGGTGCCTCTCCCACCTCATCAATGCAGATGCTACACTGGTCGTCATGACTACCGACCAGAAGAAACCTGGCCTTGACAGCAGCGCCTCCAATGGGGAGAAGATTAAGCATGGCCAGATGGACATCCTCACCCATCGGTCGGGGCAAGATAAAGATGTTGCAGTGCAGTTTCTCGCCCAGCTCGATCCCGCCATCATGGCGGCACCCATCTCCGACGCAGAGGCGCGACGCGTGCTGTGGAAGATTGATTTGATATTGATCCCATTGATCATGGTCACTTGTGTGCTCGCCGCAGTCGACAAGGTCATCATCTCCAATGCCGCTATCTACGGTATGGAGACTGATACCCATCTCACCGGCAACCAATATTCCTGGGTGGGCTCGATATTCTACTTTGGCTACCTGCTCTTCGAGTACCCTGCTGCGCTACTCATCCAGCGGCTCCCCGTAGCCAAACTCTACGTGGGAATGGTCTTCGCTTGGGCAGTCATGATGTTGTGCACGGCCGCTACGCAGAACTTTGCAGGCCTGGCGACAGTGCGCTTCCTCATGGGCATGCTCGAGGCATCGGTGTTTCCCATCTCCAGCATCCTAACGGTCATGTGGTGGAAGACGAGCGAACAGCCTCTCCGGGTAGCCTTCTGGTTCAACCAGCTGTCGTCCGTCTTCTCTGGAGTCGTCAGCTACGGCATCTGACACACCCACACAGCACTACACCCCTGGCGACTACTCTTCCTTGTCCTCGGCGCATTCTCCATCCTCTGGTCAGGCGTCCTATACATCTTCCTCCCAGACTCCCCAGTCCAATGCTGGTACTTATCCGACCGCGAAAAGTTTGTCTGCCTCGAGCGCGTCAAAGACAACAACACGGGTATGGAAGACAAAACCATCAAATGGTATCAAGTGCGTGAATGTCTCCTCGACCCAAAGACATGGCTCCTAGCTCTGTTCTCGCTCGCCCAGAACATCCCCAACGGCGGCCTTGTCACCTTCTCCGCCCTCATCGTCACCGGACTCGGCTATTCCTCCCTGATCACCACCGTCCTAGGCATCCCCACCGGTGTTCTCGCCACCGTATGGCAGATCCTGCTCTCGTTACTCGCCTCCCGTGTCCCCAATTCCCGCTGTATCATCATCGCCGTCTCGAACCTAGTTCCTATGGCCTGTGCCATCCTCATGTGGAAATTGCCCCGCTCCGACAAACACGGCCTCCTCGCCTCCTACTACGTCTTCTACACCTACTGGGCACCCTACGTACTATCCACTTCGCTCCCAATGGCCAATACCAGCGGTCACTCGAAGAAACTGACTCTAAATGCTATCTTCTTTATCGCATACTGCGTGGGGAATATCATCGGTCCGCAGGTCTTTCGCTCCACGGATGCCCCGAGTTACTCGCACGGGTATGAAGGCCTGCTGGCTTGTCTGGTTGTTGCGATCGTCGCGATCTCAGCCTACGGATTACTTTGTAGATGGGAGAACCAGCGACGGGATCGTGAACAGCAGCAGCAGCAGCAGCAGCAGTCTGTTACTGTCTCAGAGGATGCGGCATTTTCGGATCTAACGGATAAAGAGAAGAGATCATTCCGGTATACTTATTAGTTTAGCATTTAATTTGAACCAGGAATATAGTTGTAGAGAACACTACTGCTACCTATATGAAATCAATGCTTGAAGCATCAAATGATCATTGCACTCTTTTACTCAATTACTATATTCCAAACCTCACTGTTATCTTATCTCCACTACCAATCGCCCAAACCCAATTCATGCATGGTATTTAGGTCTATTTCTAGATCGCAACAGTAACTGCTCACTCTGTTGATTTTCACCTACTCACTACCTAGTTGGTACTACCGATCATCTTGGTAAAATGTCGAAAGTCATCTAGCCCTGATTATCACTTCCCCGCATCACTTTGGTACAATGAATCCAATGACCACCTAGATATCAACGAGCGGGGTAAACCCCGAGACGAGAACAAACGAATCATGTGGCCCAAAGTCCCAACATCTAACCGATAAGAACCCCTACTAACACTCAAAGTCAGTAGTACCGACCAGATAGCACTGCACTGCACTGCATAGCCGTATACATACGCCGGTTCTATACCCGCCCTATAAGAACAAGCCATGAGTCCAACCAAAGTGGGGAATCAGTAGCGGGGTGGATCCTTGCAGATGATAAGTAGGTATGATCAAAACGGGAGGGGAGAAGGTCGGAACGAGGCCCGGTTTGGTCCACTGGCTCTTAATTTCATTCATTCTTCTGTTCTCTGTTGGTTGATTATCTTGCTATCTGCTGGGAGGAGCTTTATCGTGATAAGGGATTGCGCTACTAGTATCCCCGGGGGGGATGGTTGAGGGGAAGGCAGGTCGGTGCGATGTGGATACTAACTAACTACTCTCCGAGTGATTGGCAATGGAGGGGTTCTGGCTACTATTCCGAGGGTCTCTGGGTTATAGTAGTTGGTTGGTTTGTAGATAAATACTTCAGTTGAGTAGTGCATTCTAATACTTGGCTACCCTACCATGGACCGAAATACAAGAATCCTCATTGTCGGAGCTGGCTGCTTCGGTACTTCGACCGCTTATCATCTCGCCCAGCGCGGTTTCACGTCCATCCGCGTGCTGGATCGATATCCCGCGCCATCCTGCGAGGCCGCCTCAACCGATATCAGCAAGATCATTCGCAGCGACTATAACGAGCCGCTGTATGCACGTTTGGGAATCGAGGCGATTGCCGCCTGGAAGTCCTCGGATCTGTTTCGTGGGCTGTACCATGTCCCTGGCTGGGTTCTGAGCGCATACAAGCTGTCGTGCGCGTTTGTGGAAGGGTCGATTGAGACGTGCACCAAGCTTGGAGTTGAAGGATTGGAACGCCTGTCGACGCAGCAGATCCGTGAGCGGTTCCCCCTTGTGACGGGCGAATTGGATGGGTGGAATATCAACGTCTGGAATCCGACGGCTGGCTGGGCGGCGGCCGGGGAAGCCTTGCGGCGCATGGCCGTCGCAGCGCAGGAGCAAGGGGTGGAATATATCTCTGGTGAAGAGGGCTGGGTCAAGAGGTTGTTGTTCAATGAGGAGAAGCATTGTACGGGAGTGATCACGACTGATGGCTCAACGCATGTTGCTGACTTGGTCGTGGTGGCTGCCGGAGCTTGGACGCCAACATTGCTGGACGTGGCGGGCCAGTTGACGGCCAAAGGCCACAGTGTGGCGCATATACAACTCTCCCCGGCGGAGACAGCTCATTATTCCGCACTGCCTATTATGGATAATCTGGAGCTGGGCTACTTTTTTCCGCCGCAGGCAGATGGGGTGTTCAAGATGGCGCATAGCCAGTTCATCACGAACATGCAGACGGATACACGGTCCGGAAACAAGTCATCTGTTCCTCACACCTTTGTGGACAATCCACAAGATGACCTCCCGCTAGAAATCGAAGCTCAGATGCGCCGGAACCTTCGTCGTGTCCTACCGGAACTCGCCGACCGTCCATTCTGTTATACCCGTCTTTGCTGGGACGCTGATACCGCTGACCGCCACTTTCTGATTTCACCGCACCCTAATCATCAAGGACTGTACGTGGCGGCCGGAGGATCAGCGCATGGTTTCAAGTTCCTGCCCGTGCTGGGCAAGTACATTGCCGACTTGCTGGAAGGAAATTTGGAGTCCGACATTGCCCGGCAGTGGCAATGGCGCGCAGGCCAGACGGTGACCGCGAAGAACCTAGCCCATCAGGACCCCGAATTGGAGTTGAGTGACTTGACAGGATGGAAGGGACGTAAAACTCGTGAGAGGGGGCCGAGATTGTAATAGTCAACGAAACAAACAAATAACACATGCTAAAATGAATGTCTTTATGTCAGCGCTAGTTTCCACCCTCCAAGCATCGTCATCGCATGTTCCCATTCAAAGCGCGCTGTCTCCCCTGACATGGCGTCATTTGCAATATCATTTAGGTTAAGGTCACGGCGTCGCCAAACCATCTCTATCACTTCTCTTGCCGGCGTGATGTTCTAAACCATTAGCTTGTGAAATTGTATCCGTGGGTGAATAGACGTACACCAAAACGACGAATGGCCTCCCACTCCTGGAAGATCTGCAGAACAACGACTCTATCCCTGTCGTCCGAGGCACAGCAACCTGCTAGGAAGAGAGGCCATAGAGGAAGCACGGCAGTGCGCGTCATGTTGGACTTGTGCGTTTGTATAACATTGAGAATTTGGCGCACATAGCGGAGTTTTTCCTCAGACGTAAACGATGGACACGAAGAGGTTGACGTAGAAGACGAACATATCTCGTACAGGAGCAACATTGCGCCCAAGCGATTAGCTTCAGCAATGACCATACATTCTTGCCCTGAGTGCAAGTCGATATCCGCATGTGGCGTCTGACGGAGCACCTCCAACGAGTGCTTCAGTCTATATGCGCTCCGAATGTCCGGCTCACGCTCTTGCCATGCTAAGTCAGCTACTTTATCTATTAGGAGAAGTAGCGCGTGGCTGAATCCCATATAAGGGTCGATAATATCTGATGATAGACTTTGAGGCAAGGCAAAAAGACATGGATGCGTTCGTGGACAATCCCATCGAAAGGCCGTTCGGGCAAGAACGAGATGAAAAACAAAGTAACGGTCGAAGAAACCAAGAAGCTCCTGACTGTGCTGCGACGATGTTTTCCAATATCGCTGCTTTCGTGCAGAAATGACATTCTGGAACCCATTAAGGTGAGTCACCCACGATGAACGACTATGATCTGAAATCTAATGCTGTCAACTCTCACATCTGACTTAGTGTGTTATAGTTGGATATTCTCATTACCTCAAACCAACAGAGCATCAGAACAAGCCCCAATATCACATCCATCTCCCGATCTGACCAACTATCCTGATCTAAAAGAGACTGGAGGTGGAGTAGCGCACGGTGATGGTGTGCCAGAGCAGGGACTCGATACTGCATTTGGGAAAGACGCAAGGTATTTGCGGAAATGGCCAATGCCGCATGATAGATGCCATCAGAACTAAGAGCCATGGGCAAGATCAAGTATCGATATGGATTGGATTGTACATTGTCGACCAGGGTTGAGCTGCTGCAAATGACTGTCTCAAAGAATGCCAGCAGCATGGGATCCTCGCTGGATCGATTCAGGGCCGTGACTGGCATTGTATTCATTGCGGGTGATAGTAGCAGCTGCCGTGGATGACCGAGCGAGTTCCCGCCATAACCCCTATGGTACTCCACACAGAGCCGATTCACGTCGTCAGCGGACGTGTTTAAAAACATCCACTGCTGGTGCGAACTTCTAGGCGTAGGATGTCGCGGCATCTTAGCCAGGTCGTGCTCATTTGAGACATCCATTCTCTTGCGGCCGTTCTTTGACCATACTCCGGTCCTTCCATGACAGACGCCCTTGGCGATCGATTCGTCAAGCCAAGTCAACTGAAAGCTGTATTCGCAGCCCCGGTTGTTTCGCGCGCAGCGACGGCAGACGGGACGGCTCTCTTTGGTATGCATTAGCTTACAGAGGCTATTCAATCCGGAGGTGAATTATCGTACCATCACACTTTATCCTTCGGGCTCTACAAGCCCGGCAGCCTGTCCGGGTGCGAGAGATGAAGGAGGGCGCCATGAGATGAAGAGGAATGGCTGCGGAGAAGGAAGGAGTGGTTTATCCGGAGCCATTTATAGGCCACGCGGGGAACAACCCGGCCTTATCAGCGAAACCTTAATGCATATAGCTGCACTCAATATAAGTCTTGATTATGTCTTGTCATGAAACCCATTCCTCAGTGCCCTAACTTCTCTTCCTTGAACTGGCTGGTTCAAGCCCCAATATTCCAATGCAAAGACAGCGTCATAGGCTATATGTTCTGTTAATGCGACCGTTCTGATGGTGTGGAAGAGAGGCGGGCATTGTCAAATCCAATCAAAATTAACATAATCATCGTGCAAATGGGCAGATGCTTGGGATATCCAGCCACTAGTGTCGCGGTTATCTCTGAAAGAGTGCTGTAAAGTCATATTTCGTAGGATGCTACTCCGTTCCTCCGAAGACGCATTCCACATCTCATCACTGTCTGGCACGCTAAAGTCCAGATCTGCGAGCGTAAGAAGTGCACTCATTTGTGAGCCACCGTGACTTTGACCATCAGAATCGACTAGCTGTTTTGGCCCACATAGCCGACATAACTCATAGAGGGCCAACCCGAATCGCTTAGCTTCTTCCACACTTACCCAGATGAGAGCTACTGGCGCATCAAGGGGATGCTGAGCTAGCATATTCGGATACGAGAACAATCCCAGCTGCCGACAGGTTTCCACGAGCGATTTGAGTAGTTCGTACTTGGATGATGGCAGGTGACAACGAAGGTTCAGGTCAAAAGTCGCCTCCTGCTTTGCTATGAACAGAGCAAATATAAGCTGGAGAAGAATGCTCTGGTATGTCGGCATCTGCCAAGGTTTCATCTCGATATGCTGTGGTGTTGATTCCGACACATGCCACCGAGACTATGATTTAAAAAGACGTCAGCCCCTGTTTGACCATACCGATCATGCTACAATCCCTACTTTTTGTGCCTGTATAGCAGACAGCAATTTTTGATGGAAATGCATCGCCGACTCCCGCCCCTCCCGGTCACCCTTGATCCATAGTCCAATCATTAGCATGGACTGTATGAGAATGCAAGGCTCCTTGGTAAGATCAAAGGTTCCTTTATGAAGGAAAGGCCAGACAGGATGAAATTCGCTGAAGTAAATATCTATGAAATCCTGGGCGATCCACCGTGATGCGTCGGGAACTGATGCATTCAGCTCAGTCTTCAAATCCTCCTGTGTCCCAAGCACCTGTTGCTTCTCGTCCCCATTTGCGTTGACATCAAGCGAACAACTCAAACCTCGTTGTTGACACCGGCTGCACGGATGTCCACCATCACAGCGTTCTTTCCGGGCATGGCACTTTTGGCAAGCCTTTACTGCCCGAGTCTGTGGAGGCTTTCTCTCAGGGTGATAATTTCGAACATGACGCCGTAACAGGTCGCTGGTCCACAGTTAGCTTTAAAGGCAGATGTTCAGGGGCTCCAGTCATGGGACATTCCTCCGGGCTAAAGTACTCTCACAATAAGGACACGAGAGGCGTTCGCCTTCCTTATGACGCGCAGTATGTCTCTTCAAGTGTTCTCTCCGCTGATAAGTTGCACCACAACCTGAATGACCACATCGAAAGAGATTATGAGACTTAGTAGGTTTGGGGGGTGGCATATCGTTGGTTGGTCTGGGGCTCTCAGTTCTTGCGAGGATGTAAGAGGGATGCCGGGAAGTGACGAGAAGAAGTGACGCAGTTACCGAAATGGCCGCTGTTGCACCCGCTCCACGGTCAAACCCAATACCAAACAGCTGACAGGTTATTTTAAGCACCTTTGCAACGTGTATTAGTGGAAGAGTTACTTCGGGATAGGTTATAGACTTCTGTTATAAAGGATTAGTATTCAGGCCACTAATCGTGCCCCACTTTAGATACCATATCGGTATCCCACTGGGTCTCCCGCTCCAGGTTGCCACGCCATGAATTACCACTCTTCAGATCTCAATTGGAATATTATATGTGATTATAATTTCAGCAAAACAATAAATAGGATAAAATAAAATAAAAGACCCCGAAGGAATTATAGCCAGCATTAGATTGATTGATTAATTCATAATGAAAAATTGATTGTATTTAGAGATAGAATTATTGAGATATCTGCCGTATATGAGGGATACCGAGGGGCGGGATACCGACGGCGGGATGCCGAAATAATCAGATTTGTTCGTCTCAAAGGAGCTTACAAGCTGAGTATATCATTAGAAGTCTATTATGTGAACAATATTAGCCTCTTGTGCTGTGCCACTTAGCGAGTATCAGCTATAAGTACTGACCATCGAAGACTTGCCTTCTCTAACAAGATACTCACGTTTTGCCCAGATTCCCAAGCACTAAGTGCTATTCAGATCTATATATTGTGCCTTGCGCAGTTATCGGCAGACAATACCTTTCTACAATTGAAGTCTTTCTCTCATCAATCAGCCCCTCTTTTCAAGCTCATCAGTAATCATGGCACTCACTCATTACATCACCCATATTGGCACTGCTACAGCCATACTTGAGATCAATGGGGTCAATATGCTCACCGACCCTTTCTTCTCTCCGGCCGGAACATCTTTCCCTATGACCGACAAGTTTTCTCTCAAAGTGGAGGATGACCCTGCCCTCCGCCTAGATCAGCTTCCTGTCATTGATGCAGTCCTGCTCAGTCATGAAGACCATGTCGATAATCTTGACGACCTCGGTCGCCGCCTGCTTGATGGGCGCCGGGTTTTCACTACTGTTGACGGTGCGAAGAACCTCTCCCCTCGGCCCGCAGTCCACGGTTTCGAGCCCTGGGAAGAAATGGAAGTTGCCATTGCCGGAAAGAAGTTTCAGGTCATTGGCACGCCAACAAAGCACGTCGATGGTAACGAGTGTACCGGCTTTATCTTGACCGGAGAGGACTTTGGTCATGGTCGCGACGGTCTCTCTAACGCAATCTACTTCTCGGGTGATACTGCTTACGTGGAGGAGCTGAAGCACATGGCAGAGCGCTTTCATATTTGTGCTGCGATCGTCAACCTCGGTAATGCTCATGCGCCTACGGACATGACAGATCCCAGCAGCCCCCCTTATCAGATCACCATGGATGGCAAGCAGGCCGCGCAACTCTTTCGCAAAATCAAGGCCGACTACCTTGTACCTATGCATTATGAGTCATGGCATCATTTCACACAGTTTGGACAAGAGCTGCGTCAGGCTTTCCAGGAGGAAGGAATCAGTGACCAGGTATGCTGGCTCAAACCGGGGGAGCCTGTGAAGGTTCTGTGATTACACCCATCACAGTGAGACTCAACAATAGGGTCATGAAAAGCATGTTTTGCTTCGGACAACCATGTGCTGCCGCATGTGTGTGCAGTCAGAAGTGTCATGTCTTAGCAGAAAATACCATGGAGACCTTCTAGTCTTGGCTTTTCAAAACCTTTTACAAATTTATTGGGAGAATTGATCAGTAAACAATGGAGCCTACAGCCTCAATATATTCTCCTACACGTAATACTACAACGAATGAATTGTCAAGAGCAGATTGAACGCATTAACTGTCTGGATAGATCATAAGGAGCAACGCAGGGAGACTCGACATGCACTACAAATGTTGCATATCACAGGAACCAACAGGCCACCTTGGTGTAGCATAGTATGAGAACAATAGACAGGAAGAGTAATAGGCAAATAACTGAAAGGGGAAGGATGATTTGGCAGCCCGTGATCTCAAGCACGTGGCCTCAGCCCAATGCGTTCTTTCTATTCCTCTTCTTCCCCTCCCACTTCCCCAACTTGTCCATAAACGTGCGATCATTTCATCATAGATGGGGTTTTGCAAGCTCCTGTGTTCGAATATTCCTGATCACCATTGCTGTTTGGTCTAATTTCTTGGCTCTAGCTATGAATGCTAGCCTTTTAGGGCAAATGTATGGCGTCCCTTGGCACGCTGTTCTCCCTGCACTGACAAACTAGCTCGGCTGATGTTCCACCTCAGCCTATACAAGCCATGCTGCGATGCATAAACCGTATTTTGAAGAGTTCTACGACGCGGGTACCTCACATGCCAAAGGGATTTTCATCCACTTACGAAGCCTTTCTCGGCGGGAATAGAACTACGACTCGTGAATGGCAGCCTATTGCAATGCATACGTACGCTGGATGGGAGGACCTGGGTTGGAAGCGAGGAGCTAACATAATTCAGACGGTGAACACTGGTGAAATGCGGAGAACACCGACCAGAAAGGAATTCATCGTCTATTTTTGTGTTTGGTCTCAGGTGTTGCAGATACTAGTGGGCATTTTGAGTCGACCTCAGCACTATCCTTACCCCTTACGGAACACGCTTCTTCCAAGAACTCCATCGAAGCAATTCACGATCTGCATTATGTAGGCCTTGGCGATAATGCAACACGTACTTGACCAAGTTACTGATGTCTTCGAGGCAATGTTTCGGTGGAAGATCGACTTTTCAATGCGCTCCAATAATAATCGGGGAGACTCGGAAATGATGCTGCCTTCAGTTTCCGGTGGCCCTGCCAAGACGAGAAGTATGTGAGTACTACCGCTTCGAAAGATGCAGGGGACATAGCCCTGCCTGTCTACAAGCTCGCGGCCGATGCGGCTGTCTAATTACTGACCCAGATCCAGATGAAGTTAAGACATTTGGGGACGAAGCCGACTGGCCTGGGCTGAGACGCAGAACATGAGTTTTGTAAGAGGTGCACATATTGAATCCTCGATACGCTCTATGTGGCCTTGTCGTTTCAGACATGATGAGACACCATGCAAGGGGTAGCAACGAGGAAGTTGCAGCCTGCCATTACGCCATCTATCGACCCCAAAAAAAGCGTAATATGTGAGAATGCATGATTGGTCATCCATGACCTCTTTCAGCTGCCCACGAGCATTACGTACGAGGCAGCATACTGCTGTCAGCCAAGCCATGGATTGTCGCGCTGCTATGATCGACGACGACGCGTATAGTCAAGGTCTTAGATGACTCCCTTTACTTGCATTTTGGAGAAGCTATATAATGATGCTCAATAACCCACCATCATACCTATACGTTTGTACACAAACAAGTCCATTTCATATCATATTTATACTTTACTGAAAATGGGTCCACCGTATGTTCCACCGTTGTCACACTTGAGACAGTACGTGTCTAACCTCTCAGCAGGGTGAGCGGAACACCGCTTTCATGGCAAGAGCTTCAGCAAGTTGCACCTATTGCTCGTCAAGGGGCCGTGGAGGTAAGTGCTTCCTATATACCTTTTGATTGCATGTCGCTAACGGTAAAAGCAATTGCTATCTCTATGGAAGAGGCAAAGAAATAGAAGCGATCCCGAACCACTATGGGGTGACGAGGTAAGACATCACCTGCTGTAGTTATATCGAAGGAGACGCTGACTCGACAGATTGAATATACCCTGGTCAGCCTTGACGCAAACAGGTCGCGAGCGACACTGCTTCTTAACCAAGAAGACATCCTACGAAAAGAAGAAAAACAATGTGCTAAAGCTGAGGAAGTGTAAGTATTTAAATAACACTGGCAAAGACAGTATACTGAGACATAATAGTGAACCCTGGAATGAAGTCAAGTTACAGGCGGAATGGGCTCGACATATGGTTGAAGCAACTCCAGGAGAGCCATACGGGGGCGATATTATGGACCTACTCAGGGTTCAAGGCAATATGAAGCGACGGTATGTTGAATCTCGCGACAAGTAGACATGAAGCTGACGTTATTAGACGGAAATTGATCGGGCAATTTCTATCGCCCGACCAACACCCTGTACCGTTGTGTGTCTTCCCTGGCTTAGGTGAAAAGGGACAGTTCACACTCCCAGAAAGTCCGCATGAAGAGTCTCTGGAACAAATCTGCTGTCCCATACCGCGCTATATAATGATGACAGAGAACTTGCTGGCACGGCGACAACGGCGTGTCGAGAGCTACATTCCAATCTTTCGAGATGAGCAGACGCAAACACCTTTTCATGACACTTCTGTGTCTTTTGAATACCCCGCAGAGCATCCCCCCGGGAATGGAAAAGAGGGCCATGTCCATCTGGATGGGATCGGTCTCGGGGTCGGGAATTGCTGCATTCAGGTTACGTTCCAGGCTCCTAATGAAATTGAAGCGCGATGGTTGCATGACCAAATGATCGCATTGGGGCCGGTTATGTTAGCACTTACTGCTGCCACGCCGATGTTTAAGGGTTATCTGGTAGATACAGAAGTGCGCTGGGGCCGAACCTCTGAATGCTTTGACGATCGTACTCCGGAAGAGTTAGCCACGACGGTATTGTGCACACCCTAAAGTTTCTTGGCTTGACTAACTTAGCAATGCAGCCACCACGGTATTCTTGGAACCGCACATACATCTCGCAAGAGAAGCCAGCCAATCTCGAAAGCAAATCTCCGCTGACTCCCATGAATGAGTCGGTCAAACAACGCTTACTAGATGGCGGCATGGACGAACCTTTGGCGATGCACTATGCCAATATCCTTTCGAGGGACCCAATTGTGCTCAACCGAACAGACCTGGAAAACTTTGATCTAAATAGTACAGGCATATTTGACGTCTACTACAGCACTGTATGGCAACATGTCCGACTCAAGATGCCCTTAACCGACGATGGACCCGGCTGGCGGGTAGAGTTCCGACCGATGGAAGTACAATTGACCGATTTCGACAACGCTGCTTTTGCCATTTTCATGTACCTTCTTTCTCGAGCCATCACGGAACTTCACTTGAACTTTTATGTGCCTATCGACCAGCTGGGAGACTCCATGGAACGGGCGCAGAAGCGCAATGCTGCCCTCGAAGAGCGCTTCTGGTTCCGCCGGACCGGATGGTCATCCGCAGAGCAGTGCGAGCGTCCACAGCGTCAGCGGAGAGGCTGTGTTAACTGCTGCTCAAGATCTACTGCACATGCATCACCGTCATGTGCGCTTCTCACGGCTGATGAGATTATCAATGGCGAAGATCCAAAGGTGCCCTCCAGTTTCCCTGGACTGGTGAACATCGTGCGCGCTTATCTTCAGTACAGCAACACGCCCGTGATGGACCAAAAGAAGATCATGCCCTACCTAGATGTGATCAGTAAACGAGCCAGCGGAGAGCTTCCGACGCCAGCCCAGTGGATGCGCTCATTCGTGACCGGTCACGAGGAGTACCAGCGAGACAGCTATGTGAATGAGAAGATCCGTTATGACATGATCCAGGAGATTATTCGGATGGAAGAGTGATGAGTTGATATTTATTATGCGCAACGCCTTTGGTTCATATGCATAGTTATAGAAGTATTATAGATGACTCTGCTGTATCTATCTTTCTAATCATGACAGTTACGATCAATACTATCCTTTGTTCAATGGCCACTACGTCATAGTTTAGAATAATTATGTGGGCGGTGAGATTAGCACTGAGAAAAGGCTGAAAATGATCGACGTAGGGCACATTCCACGCCGCGTCATGTCGCAGATTACGCTTTTATTCACTGCAGATCATGTATGCTTGATTAGTCTGACTAGGCAAGGCCGTTGGAAGGGGGGTGAGAAGTTAGTACGTACTGAGTTTAGATAACACGGCACAATTCTAGCCCTACATTTAAGTTCAGGAACCGCTAAAGCCTGGAATTTTAATGCCATGACTGCATTTGAATGAAACAATATCAAAAATCCATTAAACGATGAGATCAACTTACATGATGATTAATCACGGAGTGTGAAAAACCAATAACAACAACAACAACCCCCTGCAGATAATGTAGTACACAATACCCACTCCACTCCCCGAATCAAGGGGCGATGGATAACTACGTATGTATCATCATTGTCACACCTCATCCGCAAAACTACTTTTCCTTCTCAACCTCTCCCAAAACCACCACAGCACCCAACGGAATAGGACACCCAATAAACAACCGCTACAAACCCCAAAAGGCTATTCCCCCATCCATATCCCAGCACGCGATACATAACGGGACTAAAACAGCGGGAACCCAAACCCCGTCAATCCCCGCAAGATATAGACTCCACCGTTCGCACTCGCCCCATACACACTATACGCTTCGAGAAGGTACGCGCTCGTACACTGGAAAATGACAGTAGCGCCCATGAGCGGCAGAACAATACCGATATCTGGAACGATCCAGTGGGTTCTGTACTGTGCGGACCAGCCGTAGATGAAGAAGCCGATGGGGACGAGCAGACTCGCGGGGATCATGAGTGGGAGGCGGGACTCGGGCTTGCCGATGCCGTGGTTGGAGGTTTTGAGACGCAGGTAGATCTTGTCTGAGACTAGGGCGCAGGTTTGTGCGCGCCTAGGAGGTAGCCGATGCACGGGGCGAGGTAGTGCAGGGAGCCGGTGCTGGCGGGCAGGTGGTATTGGGTTTTCCATAGGGTGGGGGAAGGTCGAGAGGATGAGGTAGACGAGGCCGTAGATGTAGCCGTGGTAGAGGGAGAGGGCTTGGACGATGGGTTGGGTGAGGAGGAGGCGAAGGGAGCGGAAGAGGGTGCGGTGGTAGAGGCTTGTTAGGGTTTGAGATTTGGAGGTGGAAGGTGTGGTGGTGTTTGTGGCTTGCTCGAATTGAGTGAGGAGTGTGAGGCCTCTGTAGTCTGGCATAAGTTGGAGAGCTTGTTTCTTGCGGTGGAGGAGGACCGGGGCGTAGGTCTCGCGTGAAAGGCTTAGTGAGGTTAGGATTATGACACCGGCAAATATTGGGGTTGCGTGGAAGGCCCATCGCCAGGTTGAGTACTCTGTTATGTAGCCGGCTGCTATGGAGAGGCAGAAGCCAAGGACGGGATCCATGTTAAGAAGGGCAAGGCTTAGCCCGCGTTGTTCTTTGGGGAAGATATCACCATTGGTGCTGACGCCGGTCTAGATATGCTTTTGTTAGCGAAAGCGATGGGGGGTGCGGGTTGATGGGGGGAGATTTGGGAGAGTACAGCTAATGAAGCACTAGCGTCTAGTCCGCTCAACAGGCGGAATACTAAGAGCTGGGTTATGCTTTTTGAGAAACCCGCGGCCAGATCAGAAGCGAGGAAGAAGGCATTTCCTGACTGCTGGATGGGAACGCGGCCGAGCAGTTTGCTAAGAGGTGCTAGCACCAATGGTCCCAGACAGTAAGTGAGCAGGAACAGGGATACTGTCAGAGAGCCCTTGACATCTGAAGTAACATGGAATTCGGCCTCGATAGCATCAACAGCTGGTGCAATGATAGTTGATGTTAGGGGCATAAGCAAGATGGGCAGAGTCACCGTCAGGAGGATGGTATATATCCGATAGCTGGGTCATTGATGCGGATGCTCATGAGGATCGAAGTCCAGGATGACAGCTGAAATTGTGGCTGAGGACTCGTGGTTTTCTTCGCAGATGGCCTGGCTAATTTTGTCATCGTCCATTTTGGGAATTGGGGCTGATGGAATGCTTCTAGTGAGACCATGTCTACCTTTGAATAGCTCTTATAGTCAACGCAGAGGCACATTTCATCACCCGCTGCGTAGGTGTACGGAGGGACATTCTTTACAATGGTCACCGATCCACCTCCGCGGGGTGTATTTGAGTGAGTAGGATGTCAGTGGGATTCAAGGGATACGGAAACACATGCGAGTCATGATGGTCCTTTTTACCTTGTTGGCAGTTGACTTCCTTAGGTTGTTCCTTTCGAGATAGAAGCCATCTGGAACAGGTACTCTATGCACCTCAGGTAGTATCATAGTATGGTTGACCAAATGATATTTTCTTCTTTTCTTTCTTCTATTTCATTTGATATCAACACTAATGAAGATGGTTATATGCCAAATCTGGCTAGGGAGAGTCTTAAGAAGTTATGCTATAAATTTTGTGGTATTTTTTTCAACATGTTAAAGAGTACAAAATCTTATGATAATGTCATTGGTTAGGAAATATCATCCTCCAATCCTTTGATCCTTCAAGTGGCCGGATGGCGGAAAAGATGACCGGATCACGGAGGAGGGCTGGTCCGCTCGGAAGTATGTTTAGTCTCATCATCCTTCCAGGATGCGACTCGATCCGACCATCTTCAACACTTCAGAACATCATGGTGCTAGCAAAATGCTAGAAAGCAGGGCTCGGATTTGTAATGATTGGGATATGTCAAGGCTATATCCCAAGTGGTTAAATAGCACTTGCTTTTCGACATGATATGGTATAGTTCTAACATCGACTGTCAATATACTCAATATCACTCACATATCGAGAATTGATACTCTACAATTATGACTGCTACCACTACCACTACTACTACGGTCGCCGTCGCCGGTGGAACTAAAGGTCTTGGTCTAACCATTGCAGAAGCATTGGCCGTCCATGGCAAGCACAATGTGGTCATACTCAGTCGAAAGGTGAGTGACATTTTCAGCATAACCAGAAACATTGCCTTGCTAACACTACGAAGAGTACTCCTGGTCTAGATGAGAAGCTACCAGCTCGTTTGGTCGTTGTTGATTATGACAACGTCCAAAGTCTGACAGAGGCTCTCGAAGAAAACAAAGTCAGGGACGTAATCTGTACCATCAACGCATATGGAAGCTCTCTACCAGAAAGGAACCTTATTCGCGCGGCGGAGAACTCCTCTACGACGAAGCGATTTATCCCCAGCATTTTTGCCGGGTTCGCATATCCCACCAAGTTAGTAGCGATAGTCCCCCAAGTACTCGGGGCGGTTGGAGAAAAGCCGGTCACGTATTGACCCTTGTGCTTTAGGTATCCCGAGGTCGCCAAATCCAAAACAGAGGCGCTAGAGGAACTGGCGAAGACATCCCTAATGCACACTGCTGTCTACAACGGCATGTTCATGGATTTCTACGGGTCTCCTCTGCTCAAATCCAACGTCGGTTCCTTTCCGATGTTTGTTGATATAGCCAACAACGTGGCAGCCAAACCCGGATCTGGAGACCAAGCCGTCGTGCTCACCCGGGTTCTGGACATTGCGAGATTCGTTGTCCGCATCCTCGATCTTGCGGTCTGGCCAAAGGAAAGCTATATCATCGGTGATAGGGTTACGCTTCATGACTTTGTTAATATGGCCGAAGAGGCGAGAGGTGTGTACAATCTTTTAGTACTGGGCATACATCGTAACTTGTCTCACGAGTCTATGTCAGGTACCAAGTTCCGTATCACCTATGACTCTAAGGAAGAGTTAGAAGCAGGACAGGTCACGGAATTACCTTGCTACGATGCCACCTTTGCTGTAGTGGGCAAAGAAATGACCAAGCAACTATTTGCTCAGACTGGGTTGTGGATTGTCGGAAATGAGCTTGACCTCAGACCTGTCAGCACTCTCAATGAGACTTTCCCGGATATCAAAACTATGACCTTGCGGGAATTCCTCGAACTTTCATGGAAGGTTTAGGTTGATGATGGAGTAATGCGACATCAGAAGGGTGAGGGAGAAATTACGAGACAAGGTAATTTAGTAGCAAGGAAGATATCATTGGCTGATTGGTTAGCGCCTCTCGCAGGAGGGGTCTGTGAGGGCACAGAAAGATCGAGTGGTATGATTGGAAGAGTTGTCGAGACTAAGTACATATAAAAATATACTGAAGATAGCAAATGCTTACTACATGTGATAGGCTATACCCGCATAGCCGGAATTACATCCTGAACTCTGACTTCCTTCCCCTATATCTCGTGACATGATACGACGAACAAAGCGTTTATAGCGTAACATGCAGGGGATTGCTAATTTGTAGGGTTACAACACTAGCCTTACGAGCACCCTTAGTTTGCGGGTCTGTCGGAACGAAGCGATGCTGTGAGAGGCCATAGCGAGACAGACTAAGATGAAAACAAGCCTCACGGCCGAGTTTGCCGACCTTTATCCACTCGGAACCATCCAACCACACTCGCCTAAACGCTAGGGTTTTGGGGCACCATGAGCTTGGCTTCTTTGGTCTTAGATTGCATTCATAGCTCAGTTTGCGAGCGTTCATGGTCTGTCAGCCTTGCAGGTAGACCCTCCGTGAGACCCAATAGCTGATTTTGCTGCGGCCACCTGGAAATAAAGTCCTGAGTGGGAAATTGGTTATAAACGACCCCTGAGCAAGCCCGTCTGTGTGAAAAATGCCAACATTCCATTCTCTTCGCCTGCAGGCTATACATCATGGCTACCATGAACAGCCCCCGTCGAGTGGCTGCAAATGGCCAAATGAACTCAAATGAGCCAAGTCCGATACTGGAGCCTCTGCGGTATCGGACGAGGAAGTCACTATACCTTCTTTCTTTCTATGTTGCTATTCTGCTCGCTCCCTGGATCATGACCTGTGTCATGATGGTGCGTCCTCTAGACGCTGCCTCCTATACTCGCCAGGGCCTTGGTCAGTCGGCAGCCGTGGTTTTGGATATTCTCGTCAGCTTTGAATTGATCCTCGTGCTTGAAAAGCTACAAGCCGTCCTCGCCATTCCCATCGTCTCCGGGTTCCTGGCCCAAGCGGCCGTTGTCTACACGCAGCGACGTTCGCCTAATCAGAAGCTGTCCCTCCGACAGATTGTCGCTCTAGCGGATCGTCCCTGGGCCAATGTGAGGTCATGGTTTCGCAGTCTACCACTCGATGGCCATGGATCCTCATTGGCCATCTTTGGAGGGCTGTTCGTTCTGCTCGTAGCAATCACCCCTGCCATTCAGTCAATCTTAATCAAGTATGAGGATATCACCATCGCCACATGCTGGGAGATGCCGGTCTGGACATGCGAACCATCGAACATCGCCACAATTGTGGGCCTTGACCCGGAACCTGCCGCTCTAGAGTCCATGCCTCAAAGTCTTGCTGTCCAGCAGGTAGCCAAGAAAACGCAGCTGGTAGGCGAGCTCGACGTGCAACCTTATTTATGGCCGGAGCAATGGACAACGATCAACGATGCTGAGGCTATCGAGAGAGGCACATTCTTCTGGTATGACAAATCATTCCGTTCGGACCGGTATTTCGTATCTGCACTGCAAAATGGAACCAATACCGGTGTTTTGCGCCAACATGCCATCCGGTTAAACTCATCGTCCGCCTGCGAAGCGGTGCATTCATCTGAGTTCCCGCAGACGTGCTCGGGTGACCGTCCTTTCGTGACTAACCTGACTGCCCCTGATACACTCGATATTCGAATCTGCGCGCCCGGCGCGTTCGGTCAAACCCCTTGGACTCGGAGTCGGGACCGCCAGGATATCTCAGAGGAGCTGTGGATTGATGTAGATTTCACAGTCGAACAACTCAACTTTACGTTGAAATGTACTACAAACACCACTCGGGGGTACTTCGAAATCAGCAACTACCATAATGGCAACAACCCGGGACCTCTTCTCGAGAAATGGCCCAGCCAGGAGGTCCTGAAGCACGATTTCAATGACTATCTGGGAGTAGACGACGACTATGCCATTCCATCAGTTGTGTAATAAGACACCCCCTTCCAACACCCTTCCTATCTAATAGTCACTGGAGGAAATAGACTACTAACCGACAGTACTATATACCAGTGACAACGACACAACAACCCTTGGCCCCACCGGCCTACCCGATCCCTTCAACTACGAAGACCTCTACGCAGCCGGCCCACTAATGACGAGTGCGTTGGCTCTATTCGGCAACCAAAGCTTCCTCAACGCCGCCAGTTACGCCATCACCACCAACACCACCAGATCCGCACTATTCTCCATCTGCCAATTCAACGCCTTACCATTCACCCGACTCTCCCTCACCGGCTTCAGCACCGCCGGCGATACCTGCGAGGATCTCCTATGGGATATAGACAGCTCCAGCGACGACTACTGGTACCAATACCTCATGAATACAATCTACATCTGGGTCGCCTCGTTCAACGATACCCAGTCCGCCGCTACAGCACTCGACATGGCGACTTACTTCGCCAATGAAGCCGTGCTAACCAGCACAGCAACGCAAGGCTGGTCATATAACTCGCGAAGCATCTACTTTGATAGTGGGACGGTGCTGGTCAAGCCCAAGTGGAGCTTAGCCGGGGTGATCGTCATATCGGTTCTTATTGGCTTGCAGATACTGGGTCTATGTCTCATTGTCTTTTACTGCCACTCCGTCCCTACCTGGACGGATAGTCTCGATGCGTTTGCGATGCTGCGCATGGGTGCGGAATTACATTGTGAGAAGCATGTGCGCTTTGCGGGCATTAGGGATACGGATAAGCGGGATTGGGAGGACCTTGGTCGTTTTGATGGGCTTGTGGGCGTTTTACTTGATGGTAGTGGGATGGTGCAGGGAGGAGGAGGAGGAGAAGGAGGAGATGCAGAGCATAGTAGTATCAAGGATAGCTCGCCGTTGGTTCGGAGGGCGGAGGGAGGTCCGAGCACTTCCTCGGGGATTGAGTTGGCTGAGCTCCCGCCATATTCTTCTACGGTCTCGGTTGATGCTCATAATGATGGAGGGAGTGAGGAGAGAGATGAAAGGGCAAGGAAAGAAGGGCTAGAGCAACCGTTTCGTCTTGCGGTCGGTGCGCCGGGCTTGATTACGAAGAGCATGGCTCCAAGGAGGAAGACACGGGGGCAGAGGAGACAGAGGAATCCAAGGGAACGGAAGAATCCAAATCTTGTGATCACAGGTGAAACGCAAGTGTGATGGAAATGCTGATTTTCATAGTAACTTAATATATATTGGTGAACCAACAGTTTCATGGTAGAATATCTTCAATTAATTAGCCGTATAATACACAGAAAATACTACCTCATGAAATAGTAGACTTGAATCACGCAGGTAATAGCTACTAGTTGTCAGTGACTACTAAACTAGCATATATGTCAGTTCACCTGAATTATATAATTACAGAAGACGTATTCATGTAACTACTCAGTACAACCATGTAGAAAGTATGCTGATTCGACTTGCAGTATTTAGAACATTAATATATAGTACTATTGTTGAACTAACATCACAATAGGGACTGGTGATTGAGGATGTTAAGTTCCTACTTATGTTTATCTCAAGTCTAGATATAGATATGGTGGGGGTGTGGGATACGAAGAGTAAAAGCGTCACTGTGTTTGTTGTAGCCGTTGGAGGTTACTGATTTTTCAGGATATGGAGATCATCCAGTAGTACTAAGCTTTGGGTATACAGGTTAGCGAGGGTGGTAGTTTGATGGGAAAGCAAGTGCTATGTGTATAATCACTCGATGGCAATGTTGCCTGGGGTTGAAGATATAAATGTTAAGTTGGTTCTTATTGCTGGAAAACACTGCAGCAACAATCATGATACTAAGGCTACTTATTTGTTGTAGATCTACAGCTTCGGGGGAAGGCGAGAATAATCGTTGGTCTAAATCTCGTCCTAGGACATAGTGTAGGAATGCGACGCTCTTGAAGCTTGGTACATTAAAAATTCTAAGATTATATTAATGCAAAAAAAAAAAAAAAAAAAAAAAAAAAAAAAAAAAAAAAAAAAAAAAAAAAAAAAAAAAAAAAAAAAAAATCAATCAACCTCGTCTGAAACAGCAGCAAAGCAGGATAGACCAAGATAACCTGACCCTCCTGTATATCATCAATAGTCATAACAGGCCACAAGCTGGCAGGGTATCGTCGATATGCGAACAGGCAAGGCTGCAGCTCCAGTTCTTGCGATTGGAACTGAGCGAACGCGACAAGAAAATATAGCAAACACAGGGAAACAGACAGTTCAAGGAAATAATCAACGAGGGTGGACACAACGGTGATAATGACAAAGGAGAAAGGTCCAAAAGAGGGCAGCCCGACAACTCAGGCTAGATACAAGATGTAGATGATGGAGAGGACGAGTATCGCACTGAGAATGTTGGCCGCAGAACGGTCAACAGAGCCGTATCCCTATTGCTCATGATCCGGCTTCTGTTCATGCGCAGTGGTTGCTTCTTTGTCGGTTTCCTCGTGCTCCTCGGCATCAAGGAACGTTTCCCTTTGCTCTTCTTCTGCTTCATCCGAGTCTTCCGGAACCGGAGACTTTCCTTTGACCATAGTTACTTCCTCCTCCTTTCCAGAGTCCTCCTTCTCAGCATTTGCCTCTTCAGCCACGTCTGCATCAGGCTCCGCCTCTGCGGCCTCTGCGTCTTCGGCTGGCTCCTCAGCCTGCTCCGCTTGCGCTGCAGCGGCTTCTGCTTCTGCCTTTTCCATTTCGGCCGCCCTGGCCTGTTGTCTCTCCCAGACCTCCTTGCGAATGCGGTCATCTTTGGCCCGACGGAGTCTTTCGGCCTCCTCCACACCACCACTCTTCTTCAACTTGCCTTCCTCGACAAACGCTCCGAGCTCCTTCTGGAAAAGCCCGATACGGCGAGTCTCCAGCTCCTTCTGGCGTGCCTTCTCTGCCCGCTCAATCGCTTCCAAGCGAGATTCATGGTTCGGCTGCAAGGCGCGCACCTCACCCAAGACGCTGTCTTTGGCCTTCATGGGATCCACAGCCGGATCAATCACAACATTCCGCGAGGTGTTGCGCAATGTGGGACCGCCTGTATTGTTCTGCATCGCCTGCTGCTTTGTGGCCTGCTCAACAAGTGCAAAAGTCTGAGCTGCCTTCTCCAGATCATCCTGAAGATCAGCTGCGAGGTCCTCTTGCATAGTAAGCTGGTCACGCTCCTCACAGACTTGCTGAAGTTCCTTCTCCCAGATCTTGGTCCAGACGGGTTTCTCCCGCTTAAGGAAATCTTGCATCTTCTTGATCTCCTTGGTGACGGCGCTGATGTCCTTACTCACCGACTCCAGTTGCCTGGGGAGCGGTCGGACACCACGAGTCACGACATCTTTGCGGAGATCCTCAACCAAATCTTGGAGGTCATCAACCCGCGCCACAAGACGTTCTGACTCTTCGGCAAGCTCCTTCTTCCCAGAATTCACACGCACACGGCCTGCATCGCCTTCGAACGACGGTACGGTGACGTCAGCTGCAGCCGTCTTCAGTCCACCTGCTTTGGTACGGATCGCGCTCATTGAGCTTGCAATATCGGCGGTGAAGTTCGAGTACGTCTGACGTAGTACAGCAAGGTCACGTCGCAAACTCTGAAGCTCGGCGATTTGACTGTCGCTCCCCGCAATAGGACCCTTCCGGGTATCGCCAGTCTTGGCGGTAGCTGCGACAGGCACAGGAGGCGCAGCAGCAAGGCGAGCCATTTCTTTCGCAGCTTCCAGTTGACGGTCCGACACACGTTGCATCATGCTTTCTTGGCCCTCGAGGGCCCCTTTAACACCTTCGATCATGCGACGGACTCCACCGAATTCATCGTCAAAATGCTTCTTGACCTCATCCAGAATATCAACATTCAACACCAACACAGATCGGTCCTTGACATCAGCCAGATCCTCCAGCTCGTGCCGGACCCCTGATACTGGGTCCTGAATATAGATTTCCGGCAAGTCAACCCCGTTGTTGTGGGTGTTCCAAGCGAACTTCTCAATAAAAGCTAGCTGCAGTCTCCCGATAGTAAGGCCAGTATATCCTTCTGGGAGAACGTATTTCTTGATCTTGCTTCTGTATTGGAGGAATAGAGTGAGCTCCTTGCCTGGGGACTGCTGCTCAGGGGAGTATTGGACTGATTGAGGTGGAGTAGAAGCAGACACAGCTGGCTCCTGACGTTCAGATTTAGGCGTTCCTGGGCGGGCAGCCGCGGTAGGGGCAGCATCCTTTACAGGTTCAAATGCCTCCGCGAGGGACGGCTCTTCAGAAGGTCGTGGGAGATCGGGCTGCCGTCCAATAGCCGGGTGATCTGCCGGTCCACTTCCAGGGCGTTCAACAGACTTGTCTTTGGCGGCAGTAGCGCCCTCCGCTGGAAGTTCTGCAGGTGACCCAACGCGAGATTTTGGGCGCTCCTCTTCGATACTGGGAACGCTCGAAGGCGCCTGTGAAGCGACCTTTGCGTCCTGCAGCCGATTTGTCGATCGCTGTCGTCCATGGACTGACCCGCGTAGACGCACAGCGTTCAGCGACTCCCGAACATCACGCCCTCGATTCGGGATCGGGGAATTTTGGGTCGGAAGGACTGGAACACCGCTTGAAGAAGTTCCCAGATGTTTTTGTATCTGATAGGCCGAGAACCTTCGCGAGGCCCGACGTTCCAGCTCCCCGCTTCTCTGCAGAGCACCGAGAGCATCGTCTTGTTTCGGGGCGGGCGGAGGGGGCGGTGTGGGATAAGGTGGCGCGTTGGTCGAAGTCACGGAGCCCTTGGGAGTTGCACCAGATTCTGGTTGAGATCCTTGCGACAGAATGTTTTGTGCCTCGCGCCTCGACGCATCTCGTTCGGAATAGCTCGCTCCTCGCACATCAGCCGATGCCGCCGAAGACGCCCGGGCCATGGAAGGATCCTCCATAGAACCATTACTGCCAAATCGCCGAGTCGATCGCTTCGGAGACGTTACCGTGGAGGCAGTGTCCTCATATGCTTGATTCAACGCCGCCTGTGCCGAAGTTGCACTACTTGCACTTGTATGCCGACCGGGCAATGGCCTACTTTCCTCCTTCTGTTGCCGCGCACGTAGTCGAGCCTGCTTTTTCTTGAGTCCATGTAGAAGGTTAATGATGATGTCGCGAACTCGAGGGAGGTAGCGCTCGAGACTCTGTGGGGATGCATCTTGGCTAAGAGTATCTTCGAGGATCGTACGCAGGAGGTCGGGTACGGGGCCAAGATCTGAGGTGTCAACTCCGATGGCATTGAAGGCGCGACAAGCCAGGTTGAACTCATAGCCCAGTCGTACGTAGACGTCTGACACTTCATTCTCTGAGGCTTGTCGGCGGGACCACTGTGTCAGTGTCTCTAGCAGTTGCTTCGTGGCGACCAGCAGATGGGTGACGCTCTTTTCGATTTGGTTGATCTGTTTCTCGGGCTGTGGATCAGACGCACCACGAGGTCAGCCGGAGTATTTGTGGGACGGCTGGGGGGTGGTTTGGAAGAAACCCAAGCAGTGGCTGCATGCCACCACGATGGAGGGGAGCACTTACTACCACGCTCTTTGAGGATTGAGATCTCGTCGAGCTCGACGAACTGCGTGGTGCGGAGGTCATGGCGGATTCCACACTGCTCCCTGAACCGGATGGGAAATGCTGGGCTGACGGACTTCGCTGGGAGCGGGAGGAAACGCTGGAGGCGGACTGCATATGTGCAAGGCGGGAATCCGGGACAATTATTCTTTTCGGTGGCAGTTGATAAGTTATGACACGAGTATATTAGGAGCGACAAGAGGATGCAGTGTGCAAGGTCGCGAAAAGGGCTGGGGATTGAATATTGTCTCAGAGGTATGTGTAAGGGAGAAAAGAGAGAGGGAGGGAGCAGTGACGGCGGGATGGATCAAAATAGCCACCAAACGATGAGGAGAAACGAGGGAGATCAAACAGGAGAAAGAAGGAGGCGGCGTAGAAGAATACGCAACAAAGAAAGCAGGAAGGTAATAATGATAAGAAAAAAAGGTCCGCACGAGAAAGGTAGCGAGAGACAAGCGGGAATATAGCCAAGGAACCAGCCTCTTCGAGGGGGGGGTGGTGAAAGGTAGTAGTGTGGTGGTGGTAGTAGTTTTGGGTGGTGGTGATGCTGTTGGACTGGCACTAAAGCAGTCTAAGGGATCTGATAGAAGACCAATTTGGGCACAAGTTTAGTCTCCCGGCCAGCAGAGCAATGAAATGCCCAGCAGCGCAAGACAGACTGACTGACTGCAATTCAACGTCGCTGCCTTCCGAGACTTGTGTCAGCCTGAGGCATCAACAAGACAAACGCC